ATCTTAATAATAATTAGAGATCGATAAATGCATAAACAAGTTCAGTGATGAGAATCAGAGAATCCATTCAGTTTCAGCAGATTTATTTTAAGAAAAACGTTGCGTGATAAGTATATACTTCAGATGCACTATTACACAACACATTGGATGACGTTCATTTCTATCAAAATAACATATAATTAATGATACAGTGTTTAATTATTACGGGAAGTTGTTTGTTAGTTGAAGGTATGCAGCACACAGGTGTATGAAATAACGTATTAAATAAATATCTGTTAAAAACAAAATCATTATATGAAAAGCATTGGTAATATTCAGCTTTTACGTGTCATTTTTGTTGTCGGTTCGTAAAATATTACCTGATGTCTAAAAAATATGATGACATTATAGTTAACCAAATTACTATCATAAATTACGGTCTGAATTTATAGGAACACAATGTAATAGGACACATTCTTACTATATACGTTTTAACTACAAACAAGGTATTTCTGAATAATCCTTTACTTGTAGCACGAACTAATAAGTCGAGACAAACAGCAAGTCATTTGGCGCAGTTTCTAGATGGTTCATTTTACCCACCTTCGACTCCATCAACACAGATTCAAATTTAAGAAACTAAATTTAAAAGCATGCTAAGGAAAATACGTCGGTATGCCATAAGATATTTCAAGCAAAATTTTCGTTTCGTGTTATTTTGGGCACCGCGTTTATAAGCGCTAATGTCAAAAACAAAAAAGTATCATTTATTTGCAAATGGATTTCCGGTGGAGTACTGTAGGCTTGGCTATCCAGTTTTCTGATTTAATTATGATTTTGTAAACATGTTGGCTGTACCTATTATGGAAAAGTTGGACCGATTAGGCAAAGACTAGTGACTATGCATTTTCTGACACGAAGAGTTATGAATGCAAATATTACAGGTAATTCATTAACTTTCTCTCTCAATGCCACTGTAATAAAATTAGAATTCCCCACACTAAAATCCACTCATTTGTTTTTTTTTTGGCATAGTTAATGACGGACAATAACGATTGTTTGTCTGTGCTAATTATGCAGTAGCATGTAGAACGTTAAAATTTTTGCTCTCTGTATATTTGTCTGAAAAACCTAAAAGATAAAATGAACTTAAAGTTGTTTAAACTTTGGACGATTTATTTTAAACTTCGATCATAGTTCAATCTGTCTTTGCGGTTGGACAGTGTTGCACAAGAAGTATGCTATCAGTCAGTGATCACCAGTGGTAGAAGTGTAACGCGTCCTGTAGTTTTTTCTTTAGTTTTATAATAAAGACTGATAACTTAAAATAAACATGGCGAGATTAGTGAAAGGTAAATATTACTTTTGCTCTTCAACTTTTCTATAAATAAATTCATTGAAACCTATTTTATTTTTATCCACTTGTGGGCACATGTGGTGAAAATTACATTAAAGAAAAATATTTTAATTTTCAACAGCGTATGTTAATACGTGAGTTAACAATAGAAATCAACCTGGATGACCTGCCAAAAACCATTGCATGTATTGTGTTAAAAGTCAAAATATGAATGTTAAGATTAATGAGTAGTACAACAATGCATATACACGTGTTTATTAGACAGTGAATTAACGTCAACAATGAATATGGAAGTTTGTTGTGAAGTACGTAAGAGTGAACGCAATTTGTACTTCTAATACAGCGATTAATTATTTAGGTTCGAATGTGACTACTAAATCGAAACAAAAGACGTCAGAACAAAATGTTGAATTAGAAAAATTTTGGTTTCTCAAAATAATCTCTGTGTAAATGAGTTTAACTTGTATTAAATCTAATAAGATTGCCAGTTTCGCTATCGAAGTATAGTAAATTATAATTAGGTACTTTATTTTATTTATTGATATAAATCTGATGTTAAACTTTTTATAATTACAAATGCATAAACATAATGTCAAGAATTGTTTATGAGTATGGATAAACTCATTTCATAAATGAATTTATTTACATGTCTTGTACCCAGTATCAGTTATGAAACATTAAATAGGTTAAAAGTTGAAACTTATCAAAGGACATTGTAACTTTTACGTCAAAGTTTTATCTTTTTTTTACAATAATACTCCACATTGCTAAGCAACATAAATTTCGATTAAATGAAAATAACTGTTTTGATAATAAAGCATTATGTAACACTGGTAATCACAGGTACAGGTGTCGAGTCACGAGACAATTTGAGGGAGCTTTTGATTTAAAACAGGTTTGACTTTACTCCATCATGTTGAAGTCAAGTTCAAGTATGTTAGATTAATGTCAGTAGTAGAATTTTGAATCGGAAAAGATATTTTTTTGAAACTCTATAGTCTTTTGTAGATCATTATAGATAATATTTTATATCAAAAGTGTTAGATTAATTTTATACTTAGCATATACATATATATTTAAGAGAACAGCTAACATAAGATTTGAAGCTTAAAGACCTAGTTTAAAATATAGTTTACAACTCTGGGGCAGTTGCCAAGTAAACAACCTAATGATTTCAAAGATTTAGAGCCAAATTCAATTGTGACACTTTTTGAGCAACCAAGTTAATTGACACTGTGTATGTAAAAATACATAACATAAGTAAAATTCAAATGAATAGGTTAACACTTGTATAAATCAGTCCTAATATATACTTTGATAAAATTTGTTTTTTTTTATTTTAAGTGGACTTTTAGAACAACTGCACGACAAATTAGAGTATTGATTAAAAAAAAAAAGATATCAGGTGAGAAAACGAACATTGAAACAACGAGAATTTATGCAAGGGTATATTATAATTTTATTCTAGTGCAAAACGCAATTCTGTCTCTTTTGTAATTTCGTTTTCAGTGTGATTGATCCGATCTTGAACTTTTGCAACCTTTCACTTTCTCAGGGAAAGAAACTTATACATCGGATAATTCAGCTTGGTGTTCGCACCCATTGGTGGAAATATTTGACGTGTAACAGACCAAATTAAATAATTTAAAAATCTGCGGTTAGTCTAATGACTATTTTAATGTGAAATGTTATACTTTTTTAAATACATTTGTAAGGTTTTTCTTACTATTAAACTGATATAATCTCGTTCATTTTATGTAATAAACACAAGAGACAGTACAAAATGTAATTAAGTCACAAATCAACTTACCTTTATAAAAACTGTCAAAACCATAATATGCCTTCTTTAATAAATATTCCTTTACAATTTTCTTTAATAGATCTTACAAGTTCAAGGAAATTAGATTTCTCAAATTCATGTTATCATAGGAGATTATTTTCTATTAATAGATACAAGTTTAATGGATGCACTGGGTGGTGTTTACCAAAATCCAACTGAAGTTGAATACTACTTGCAGAACAAATCTATTCATTCAGTTGTTGACAATAATAGATTTTTTAATAAATATGCTGCAGGCTATATGTAAAGGATCTTTTATCATTCTTGAAATGGTCATAACCCATAATTGGGTTCCAAATTAAGTACTCTTATATTTTACCATTCCAAAAGGTGAAAATATAAAATCTTTGTTATTGTTAAATTTGAACGTTGGATGTAAACAGTGGAAGTCAGGTTTCGCAGCCACAACAAGAAAAGAATCAACAATGATAAAACCATGTTTGTCTGGTGTAGGTGCAAAATTATAAAATTTTCCTTACGATAATATTTTCTACTACAGAAACTTCGACAAGTGAAAACTCTCTCGATAAGGTTTTTTAAACTTTTTAAAACAAAGGGTTACCGAAGCATGTATGTAAAAGGCATTTGAAGTACATGTATGCACAGATTTAAATCGAGAACCTAAGACAGTTAGCAATTATCATGTATACATACCTGGTGCCAGTAACCTAATCGGCATGTTTCTAAAATATATCTAAATCAATTTTTTTTTAAACTTTAGAATTGCTTGATGATTGAGCCATGGTCATTATTGTTATATTATTACAAAATTATGATTGTGTTGATTATGTAAGTAACTGAAAAATACTGCTGGACTGGCATACATTATACCCAAAACGAAGACCAGATGGTCATATATTTCCCGTTAAACTTTCGTGCCTAATATTGGTAACACCATGCTGAAAACGTGCATAATAGATGGATTTTACAAGTATGGTTCATAAATTATAGGAGTATTATTTTTACAAAAAGAAAAACTTTCATTTAAAGTAATCATTAATCAGGTTTGAATTCTGGAGAAAGCAAGTCTTAATAAAACCCATCTGCCTATACGATTTCCTCCATCCTCCACTTTAACAAGAACGTGGGTTACATTAATAAATTCACAAATGCTTAGCTAAAAGGTGTTACGAATATAGTTTGACAAGAAGACAACAAAACACTTTGAAAACTTGTTTGAGGGTAAAAAGTTGAAAACGTCTTTGAGTTAATACTAAAATTGTTATAAATTTTATGTAAACTCTCAGCTTTCCACTGTAAAAATAACTCGTTTATTATTCAAAATTTTATCATCATGTATTTTCTTTGTTTGAAACACATTACACAAGTATGTTTGTTCGTTTTTCTCTGGACAGTTTAAACTCTGATAAATATTGACGTTTCGTGTGACGAAAGTTTCAGTTTTGCCAACATAGTGCAACAGGTGTTGTTTTTTGAAATTATCAAAGAACCACACAAAAATACTTTCAGCGAACTTACTGCTTAAATTAGCAATATTAATTCTACTTAAGTTCCATTTTGAATCTTTTATTAGTCAATTATTTAATGTTAGATATTCTAATTTCTAGTGAAATATTCATAAGGTCAAGTACTTTTGTATTTATATTAGCGACGTTTGTGCTGATGCAATTTCATTCAAGTCTGTAAAAATTAGTATATTACGACATAGATACCAGAATTGCAATTACAATATGTTCTTCTTGTGTAAAATATGTTTTAAAGAGTTACAACTAAAAATTAGCTATCCTTGTAATTAAATACATATTTCATTAATCGTAGGTACACATACGAATACATTCTACATGCACAAATAAGATACATATGAATGGCCTATTTTTTATTTAAGTTAAATACACTGGAAATTAATACATATTGCTAAAGTTCATAGACAACACACTGAACATCTGTTGATTGCAGTTTCCACCTCCTTAGGTCTCATCAGTACAGCATATTTCAATGGTTCCCTATTAGTGGAAAGTACATATTTATCCTTATAACTTAAAACAAGCAAACAAACGTAGATGAGATCTGTCATTATCGATGTCTTCTATATCTCATTGCTAAAAACGTCTACTCTTATGACAGAACCACAACTTGTATTTGTTTCGATGTCATGTATCTGCACAACATAAAGAGTTGTGTGCTACCAGATCAGAAGCAGAGTTTGGTAACATCGTACTTGCAGAATAGCGGCAAATATTTCTGGATTTGGCAACTTCAGGAAATCGGCAATCTTCTTAACAACCTTTATATATCTATTTCTACAGCTTGGATGGAAAACCTTTTTTGTTGATCACTGATGAAGGACCTCTTGAAAAGGACGTTCTTAGGGCGCAAGCCTACGTAGGTATTTTGTGACAAGTTTCACTCATTTCACATTCCTTGTCGGTAATGCAAAACGACCCATCTTTTTTGGTTTTGGTGTCAATAAGTAAATGACCATGACCGATTTTTGATATTCAAAGCGTGCAATTTGTCTGACCGGCACGCTTCATACACACTAATTGTAGCAGCAACCTGTAATTTCAGACACGAATTATACTAATTATTATTCAAGTCGATAATCTTGCAAATCTCACCTTAACAATAATTGTCAGTTGAAGTTTGTTTTAAAATTTAAGGATATCATCCGGTTCAAAGATTTTGGGTTTACCGTGCAATTTTTTCAGTAACGTAATAAGTTTGCTGTAGATATATGTAAATATTCACTAATTCTATTTGATAGTACATTTACCACCGCTACTACTTACTTTGATATCTTGCAGTTTTTGGTCACCAGGTACAATTTAGCATCGAAGAATAAGACTATAATGTCGATGGTTTAACTTTTTTTGATGTGTCAGAAGAATGTGTGTGTACATTCAGCCATTTTTGAAAGAACTTGTATTCTTCCTATTCCTACGAACTCTAACGCCTCTTCTTACACTTTTGAAGGCAGTTTTTCTTCTTGGGATTTCTTTTCATATGTTTCTTCTACATCCAATCTCTGGAAAAAAAAATAAAAAACAAATGTGCTTAACAATATTTAATTTGTAACAGTTTTTTTGAAGGTTTTCTCATTTTTATTAGAACTACTGTAAATACCCAGAATTTAAACATTACAATAACAAAGCATTATCGACTCACGAAACATAATTCACTCGCGATTACGTCTCTGGTGAATACTTTTCGCTCGTTAAAAAAAAAATGTGTTTATGGTCGCGCATTAAAAATAACTGTTGTTAATTACTTGTCCAGTTTTTTTTCATACTTTCACAATGTTTTCATTAAATGTACTTACCAAATTAACGAATTCTTGCAATGAAAATAATTGGCTTCAAAGATTTAAGTTAATTTGGTAGAAAATTTATAATTCATTCAAAAAACAACGTTTTTTTAACCGATTGACTTTTTGAATTCGTTTTTTGATAGATTTAAAATTTTCTCTTAACATCAAGCAGCACTGCTTAGTATGAAGACGCAAAGATTTGTTCAAAATTTATTGTGTTGATATTTCGATGAAGAATAAATTTAATAACAAGTAATTATTCGACAAAACGTACTAAAATCGTAGAAGCAATTTTTCTGAAAAAATTGAAATATTCGCTTGAAAATATGCTTTTTGCGATTGAGTTAATGTACATGTTCCGATATGAACGTATTTATTTATGTTCTATAAAGAATTCATCGTAAACATGCTTGTGAAACACTCTATTTTCAGTACTGATGTCAAGTTTTAAACGTATGTTTTTTGATAAAAAATAGAATTGACATTATCTGAGTAATGGAAATGCACCTGAGGGAATAATAAGTTATTAATGTGAATCTATTTGTAAATTTATTTAACTACTAAAAACGTGTTACTTGTTTTTCGTAATCTCACGTTAACGATGGAAAATGCATCATTTTTCTCCAAGCAGTATGGTTTAGAGCAGAATACGCGGGTAGATTGAAAAATAAAGTTTCGTGTCCTCCTATCCCCTTAGTTTTTACAGAATGCAATAAATGTATGACCAAATTTTATTTTTAAAGTGACTTTTACATCAAGCAATCCTTTAAAGTTAAAGTTTATTTAAAAAGAGATTTAACCGAATGCCGAGACTGCCACTCTAGGTTTCTACAGCTTTTTTCGAAATTTTTTTCTGGGCCAAATTCGACAATAAATTATAAAAAAAATCTTTTGCGTCAAAGGTTTCTTTCCTAGTCCAGGTCTGTCTCCGTTAGGCTTCTAGTTGGTGAAATTAAAAGGTACAATTTAAAGAACATTTTTTTCAGATGGGGGACTCCTGGAAGTGTCGTTACTTTTTTAAAGGGGTTAAAACTGTTTCTACTATTTGGGACACATACATCTGTAAAACATGTCCAGCTTTTTATTTAAAATAAAACTTTACCTAGAAAAAAAATATATAATTGACTATGTATATAACACGTAAAGCAGGTATCGTAGAAAATAAAAAGTTGTCTGTATTCTACGGTTTAATAAAAAACTACATTATCAACCATTCATTATTATTATCAATGTGCGTTTCAAATTATCCTGGCTGAAAGTGAACCTTGAGCCAAAAAAAGTTTGAAATTTAAAAAAAACACTACATTATCAAGGTAGGAATTATGTTAAAAAGTTTCAATTGTGTTGATATCGTATCAGGAAAGTTACTGCGTATGAAATGACTAGAACTAAGTAAGAACATGAACATAATGTACTTGTACAAGTGCACAGAATTAAATAAATGCTGTCATGTTACAGAACAAAATTGGAATTTTATTAATTCATTATGGAAAAGGGAACAACCAACTACTAATATACAATAAATCACCAAAATGTCCTCGTTTAATAATAAAAAAAATTAATGCATATGTAACAGCAGTGTCATAAACTAATAACAGCACAGTTACATATCATCGTGTGAAAAGCCGGCGTCATAAACTGACCTAGACTTTGCAAATAATAAGGAAAAACGCCATTACCAACGTTTTTTGATGTTACGGTCAATCAAGTAAATACGACTTAAATAGTAGACATGTTTGCCGATCGCAGGTCTTTAATATAATTGCTACTGTCGGTAGCGTAATTCCGGAACAACCTTTTACTGCTAGTTGAGTATTTACTTACACTCTTTTGGTGTTGAAACTATCGAAGCGCAACAGCACATACTGTGTTTTTTCAAGACAGTTTATTAAAATTTGAAAAAAGATGACAATAAATAAATAAGTAAATAACCTCGAGAAGTGGAATATATTCTTAAAACTTCCTCCTTTTGGTCGTATTTGAGAAAATTGCGTGAACCATCATGGATACCAACGGAAAACTTTATCGGCGCCGGCAGAACTTCAGTAAGTGTTGTTTAATTATTTTTTATCAAAAGTAAAGTATTATCTATCTAAGATAAATAGTGTTGTGTGGTGATAGGAATTTAATATTTGCACTTGAATTGTACTTGTCAAGATTTTTATTGCTCGTTCGTGATTTTATTTGTTTAGTCATAGTAGATTAAAATTTTTAGTAAATAACAATATATTAAAAAAATGTAGTGTCACTGTTCAAGTTTTAAAAATATACGTACATATCTACAATTAAAAGAAACAATATTTATGCCTGCTTACAACTACTGTAGCTATATTTTTAAGTTAAGCTACGATATATGTGAAAATTACATTATTAACAAATTCTCAATATTCTGTTCACACATGAAAAGTAAATTAAAATAACACGTTTTGTGCGAACAGACATATGAATATCTATTTTATAATTATATCAGTGTAACAACAACACATTAATTTATTAATAAGTGTAAATAATCGAAAGGAGTGTGTGTGTATATGTCTACAATTTTTTAGTTTGTCAGTTTATCTTGAAATGCCCAGAAATTTTAAATAATCTACTGTACTAACACTGTTTATAATTCAACACTTTAAATTAAAAAAGAAATTAACAATGGTAATGATGTCTACTAGAAATTTAAATCTGAACCTACTTTTCAGTTTAACGTTACATGTACAGTGTGTAAATTCTACGTACATTCCAGTACAGGACAACGCAAGGTGGGCCGCAAACTTTATCGGCAAATAATAGTATTAATATGTGCATTCAATGTTATAAATACCATCAAATGATGAACTGAGTTGTTTTGCTAAGACAACGTAAAACGTACTCTTTGAGTTTATGGGATAACCTTGGTATTTAGACCAATATGAGTTTTTCTTGTATAAATAAATGCAGTTATTTTGTTATTATGGAGATAAAGTTTAACCGTAGAGTGTTTGTTTCACAATAATTTTACCCTCTTGTGTAGCGGCAAATTCAAAATGATTACTGTGATCTACGTAAAATAGTCAAGTTGGAGAAAAATTATACTCATTTAGGTATGTATAAATAATCCAAAATAATAATTTTGGGTAATCGAAAAATAATTTTTATTTACCGATCAATACCTCAGTCATTAGACCATAGTTGGGTTGTTGACCGATTTATATTTCATATAAAATGTGTCTAAATAAATCGATTCTTTTATTGCAAATTATAATTATAACGCTCAGTCGGATAAAATGTAAAAAAAAAAGTTGGTAAAAAAATTGAAATCTAAAATTTAAGTTTTTAATATTAACCAAAACATTTGCACTTGCTTATTTTATTGTTTATAAAACGATTACAAATAGAATTTAATAACTTTACCCAGAATACATAAAGCTACGTCAAGTTCTTGCTATGTAATTATGTACTATAATCATCGCTGTAATCTTATAAGGTCACAAATAATATTGCGTTTCTGCATTAGACTCCTAAATGCAACTGCATAAAAAATCAACTGACATTAAAATAGACTTATAAAATGTACCTGTTGGTGTATAGCCGATATATATTTCGAATTACACTGCGGGTCATTATTGAAAAGTCGTGTTATATAGCTTTATCTTTTGTGTTTGATAAAAAATTGTAGGTACTTGATCATGCCATAGCGTGATAATTATTACGCTTTGCTAAATTTAAACTACGATAGATGTCATACATCAGAATCCATTCCAAATCAAAAGGTTGCGGTAATATTATAATAGCCAAATCTATACTTTTATAAAATTTCAAAAAATTGTGGCAGTGCTGTGACTTGCTTGCATTTTTAAAGTCGCATCCAACTTTAGTTTCAATGGCCCAAGGTATAAAACAGCTTTTGAGATCATTATTAGTGAGGAAAAGTTTTATAAACAGCGCTAAAAAATGAATAAAATATTTCTCCCGCGTTAAACTTTTAACCCGGATGTGAATTTTCGTTAAGTATATTAACACGACTGTTGCCAAATTTAAGCGCTATATCCTTATTATGTCATAGCGTTCGTGCAAAAAATCCGGTATTTCTTACGACGTAGTTACTTTTTTTGTGAAGGACGAATGTTTGCTATATAGTCCAAGCGACGGACTACTACCCCTGAGGGTACAAACAAATATAATTAAACACAAATTGGGCGAAATAAGTGATTCACATATCTGAGCAAAGAAGAGTTCTTTAGTGTCGCAAGAAACCGAACATTATAATTATAATAAATAACTGTCCACAGGCTTTCGGCAAAACTGTTATAATTTATAAACACATGTTAAAAATTCCACGCACCAGTAGAACTAGTCAATTATTTTTTTTTTATCACAACTTTAGTAATTTTTTTTTTCTTAGACCATCTGTATGACAACTGAATGTTAATAAAGAAATGACAGTTTATTTTTAATATGTCAGACATGTTACTTTTTTTTTTTTTAAATAATGTTTAATTTAATGAAGACTTTCTACTTACGATGCTTACTCTGATGCGTTTTATTTTAATGATTGGTTGCATAATTGTTCTTACAATAAACGACACCATGTATATTTCCTTCTAAAATGAAGTAGTACTAGTAACTAAACAAACACATGTTATCGTATTCTCGATTTTCGTGTTAGTAGTGTCAGTATAGAATACTGATATATCGCTTTAATACCTATAAAATCTCTTAACACTCGTGATGATATAGAATGATAAAAGGAGTTAAAGGCTTAAATTTTGTTTTAAAAAAGGGATTTATATGATAACAGAGTGCTAATACCCATTAAGTACATTCTGTTACAGCATATTATTTATAATCTTTTCAAGAGACTTATTCAGTTCACACAGATTTTTGACACCACCCTGCCGTTACAGTTTTATTGTTAACCAAAATTAAATCGATGCTTCACATTTTATCAGTGATTGAAAAAAAAACATTCAAGGTTTTGAATGAATACAAACATTTAAGTCGTACTGTAGAAATATTAATTACTCCCATTGTTTTGGTAACACGTAGTTTGAAAATTTAGGTTTCTATGTGAGTACATGGTAACTTGACCTTGTAAAGAATTAAAAAATATTTTGTTTTTGTAGATGTGTGCTACTGATAACGCATTTTACGCAGACAATCAAATTCACGAACGTGATTGACACAAATTTAATAAATCTGAGATAGCGCGTCGCATTATGTGACATGTGAAGTATCAGGTGGTACGTAATGTATTACAGGGGTTTTCATAGTAAGATCGGCCTTTTAGAAAATGTAGTAGACAAATCCTGAATAAGTTTGGATAAGTTTTTAAAATGTCTATCGTTGATGGCATTTATTGCATTTAAAAGTGAAATTTTTTAAAAGTTTAAAATTAAAAAAATGTATAATAATAGAGCTTATGATATACTTACATCAAATTATATAACTTAATTTTGGAGTATAAGTTTCTTAAATAATAATAATATGATGCAGAACTGATTAAAATAAAAAACAAAGAAGAACGATCGATTGTGTGATTCAATTTGCATGTGATGTGGCACCATCTTGTTGAAAACACCCTACCGCCAATTCATCATTGTGGAGTTGAATTATAAAAAGAGCCAAAATGTCTTGTTGATATCACACAGAACACGGTGTAAACTTAATGTTTGGACAGATAAACTAATTAACTTGAAAAAAAGTGTTCCCTATTATAGGACGTTTACCAATTCCTGTCCAGACTCCAACTTTCTATTCATGCAGAGGTGCTTCTCGGTAAACAAGTGGGTTCTCTGCAAATCCCTATATTTTATGACTTATGAGTTAAACCCACTGACGTGAAACCAAGCCTCCTTGTTAAAAAATGTTTTTTTCTAAGAATTTAGGAGGTATCGAATTTATTTAACAACCACTGACATTATTCATCGCTCATCGGAAAACCGCTATTTGAAATACATGTTAATGTATAATATATAGATCATTTTGGGTATTGTTTTACAAATGCCATAAGATAAACTCCTTTGCTGCATCGAATTTCTTACAGATGTTGAAGTGGTCTACCTCTTCCATAACGATTTTTGCATTCGCAGCGTTTTCTGGTGTTCTTTTGAATTTCACTGATTTTCTTTTTTTAAACTTTCGGTTTCTTAAAATAGAGTTACATAACGTTCCACGATGTTAAAGAAATGTTCGATGATGGGAAACTCCACGAAATTCGTCCCAAGTGTCCTGCACAGAATTGCCAAACACCTTCCAGTTTCTGACCATTCCGAAAGAACGCTAAAGATTTTAACTTCTAACGAAAATACAATTTTTCAACTGTAGCATAATGAAAGTTTCAAAGAAATGATTTTTAAATTTTAAAATTCGATTACAAACGACAAAAGAAAACCAAAACAAAGCGGAAATGCAAATGTGAGAATTTGAGGATATGTTGAATCACAGCGGTCGGTGGATAAATGCACACTTTGAATTGATAACAAAGTTATTCATCACGGCTTCAGTAGATTTTTCGTTACCCCGGCAAATTAGCTCCCGATAGAATAGCTTCACAACAAAATAGCTGCGTCAAAATAGCCCAAGATCTAAAAATCTCCATCAGTAAGCGAAAATGTTACACAGAAAAAACATGTAAGTAGGTACTTACTTGGTGAATTTTTTTTAGAACGGTTTCTTTCTTCAATGGTAATTTTAGTTTGTTAATCGTTTTACATGAAAGTTTGAAACTATTTATTAATGAAAATGAATTCTTATCAAAAAATATGACCTGACCTTTTTTTTCTATCAAAGGAGAAACCCTCATGGGCACCAGGGACTTAGGTTCGATCATCCCTGGTAGTGCCAAGACTTTTACTGGATAAAACCCCTTCCCCGACCAGCTGTTCTCCAACCCTCTGGAATCGCGTTAGCATTACTTCAGGGGGGGTGGTTGGTCGCCAATTTCTCCTTTTTTTTCAATTGTCTAGAATGACTCTTTTGTTCTTATCTAAGATGTCTGTTTCGTACTTGGCCTTAGCATCTGTTACCTTTCGCATAAAGTTTTCAATTGCGATCCACTTGTCTTTGCTTTCCAGCACCGTTTCCACGAGATTCTTGTCGTCAATTTTTTTACCTATTTGCTTTTCCAATTTTGCAAAAAGTCTGTGCTCTTCTGTATCGTCTTCGCCTTGCTTCCTATTTATCCACTTCTGGAGATCTAGAATTAATCTTTTGATCCATCTTACTGTTTCGCCTTCTGCTTTATCCCATCTATTTTGCCATTCTTTAAATATATACTTTCTTTTTAATTTCCTGTCTGTGATCTTTCCCCCTTTCGTACACCTGGCATCTTTTCTGTACTTTCAAATCTATTGGCATCATGCCGGCTATAACAAATAATGCGCTCGCAAAGATTGTACGATAGCCACGGGTTATCATGACAGCTATCCTTCGGCTTGTTTTGTCCAGGAGATTTCTGAAACAGCCTCATCAGCGTGGAAAATGCCCCCGGAACTATGATTTTTCTAACTGACAGCCTTGGCCCTCCTATGTTTGACATTATGCTTTTCAGGTTGTTAACCATCTTGTCAATTCTCTTAGTGACGTCTTTGACATGCGTTGTCATTTTCATGTCCTTGTCAATTGTAACGCCTAGGTATCGGATCTCTCCACTTATCCTCAACAGATGTCCATCTTCCTCTAAATTTAGCGTAATGAGGTTTATCTTGCGCCTACCTTGTAGGAGCACTGTTTCTGTTTTATGCTCCGCTAGCTGTAAACCTAGTTCTTTTACTTTAGATTTTACCATTCTGTAAGCCATTTCTGTCTTGTTTTAATTTTTTTTTCTTCTTGTCCACGATTAAGATTGACAAATCGTCGGCAAACGCAATCAACTGTATCCTTATGGGCAGCTTTGTTTTTAACAACTTATCGTAGAATATGTTACACAATTTCGGCCCCAAAACGGAGCCCTGCGGTACCCGCATGACATTTAGAACATAACCCCGTATTCTGTTTCTATCCATCTATCTTCTAGCTAACTTTATATTATTCGAATCAAATATGGTTGCACTTTTTTCTTTTCCACTTTTCTTTATTTTTTTCACAGTTTCCTGCACCGTTCGTACTGCATTTACAGTCGATATCTTTTTCCGAAATCCGTATTGGTGTACATGTAGGCCACGGCCACCCCTGTCCGAAATATTTTTCTCTAATCTGCTCCTAATCATTCTTTCCAGCAGCTCACCGCATGTATCTAACAAACAGATCGGGTGGTATGATCTTTCGTCCCTGTTTTCTTTTTCTATTAGTACCTACTAAGCGGCCTACTTTCCATATCATTGGAAATTCTGCATCCATTATGCGCTTATTCATAACGTCTAGGATTTCTGTTTTTTATTTCTCTCGCCGCCTGCTAAAGTTCTTCCATATTGAACAGAGGTACTTCCCTCCTATTTACCGTCGGTATCCTCCACGTTGAGATGCTTCTTCTCAGAAACAGTTTGAGTATTTGATTATTCGTTGTCTCCTCGTCTGGAAGAGTCCTTGGAGCCAGTTTAAACTTGTTCGTGACGATCTTGTAGGTTTTTCCCCATGGGTCGTTGTCTAACGCTTGGCAAGTTTTTTGCCGCGCTTTGGCTTTTGCTTTTTGAATCTCCTTCTTGAGGGTCTTTTTTAGCGTTCTATATTTTTCTTTCTCATCTTGGGAAACATCTTTTTTCGTATTGGTTTTCATCAGTTTTCGCCTTTGTTTGAGACAGTTTTTTCGAACATCTTCAACTCCATCATTCCACCAGTAAACTGGAGTCTTTGATACCGGTGGTCTCTTTTTCTTGAAAGATGTATCTCCCGCTTTGGCTATGGTAGAAATTAGCATTTTTAGTGAACTTTCATATTTGCTTTATTGTTTTTCTTCCAACTTATTGAAGTTTTCTCTTTCCACTTTCCAGCCTCTATTCGTTTGTTTTCCGTTAATCGCTCGGCCATTTTCAGTACGTTTTGCATTTTTTTTGTCGGAATGATTTCGAACACGATATTGTCATGGTCACTAAAGTTTTCGTCGTCAACCTCCACCTACCAGTTGGTTATTTGGTTGCTTAGCTTCGTCGAACAGAGAGTAAGATCAATGGGCGTCTTTCCTACTTTAAAGGTTGGTTCCTTGTCGTCGTTGGGCACCACCAGATCGTTTTCTACCACCCAGTCGGCGACCTGTTGTATTTTATGAAATAAAAATTAATAATAATTTCTTTTTTATCTACAAAAATTTCATACCGGCTTATTTTGACGGAGCTGTTTTGTCGCTGAGCTATTTTATCGGGGCTATTTTAACGGGTCACGATGTGTCAGTATTGTGAACTTTTTCTTTAATCACACGCACTTGCTGTCTTTAGAATACGTGAATATTTTAAAAGAACCATTGGTCGATAATTTGGGACAGAGTTATTCTTAGGTATATCTTGTAGGATGTTTTTATTAAATTTTAATATGTGTTGATAAAAAATTAGTACCGCGAAAATACATCTTAAAATTCTTAATCAACACGTTGTGTGACAGTTGGTCGCAACGAATTATCGCTGTAACAATTCATCGCAACACAATTTGTTGCAAGAATAACAGGTCGCGTGCGATAACGATCAATTGACGTTGTGTTTAGTTGTCGCATACGATCAATTGTCTTACGACGAGTTGTTTGCAGTCAACTGTGGCACGATCATTTGTTTGTGACAATTGTCGTAGACTCTATAAAATTTTAATTTTTATTATTTAAACACAGTTAAATTGCATGTAACAAGGATATATTTTCTTTGTGCGATTTTAATGCATGCGCCTGGACACTTGCACGATCATGAATTTTTCTATCGCAAGTTTACAAAATAAAAAAAATCCACTTAATCATAAAATTGTAAACATATATTTTACGTGTTCATACAGGATGATCTAAAAATGACGGATAAGCTCGATAGTACGTTGTTAAGAGAGTTCCGAAGAAGTCTAAAAAAATTGTTAAAATAATCTCTGCACCGAACTTTTGAAAAAATATTAAAATTCAAAGTTGAAGAATTAACTTCGTAATTCTGATTGATTTGCTCTAATGAATTGCATGTCAAATAGACAGTTATTAATTTGCTAGAATACGACCCACAACGTCATTTTTTACTGGTGACAGATGTCATTTTTAACCTTTATTATCGGAATTTTAAACTGTCAATTAACTTTACATAATTATATTATATAAATATCGTTACAAATGTCAAGCTTCCGGCATTACAAATATAATAATAATATACATCGACATTAACCACGTGATAAAATTTATACAATGTGAAGATATAAAGTAAATATATATAAATAATCAATTATAAATAGTACGTTTCAAAGTTAGAATGTGTAGCAAATATTGTATAATCATAACAATTGGTTTTATATTTTAAAGAACAAACTGTCCTATACATATAATAAAGTGCCTACAAATACAAATACATTAACTTCAAGTTTTCTACACAATTAGCAACATGCATACCTCTTTATTCCGAAAATTCTTATCTGTACTGCGTTTTGATGTAACGGTTTCACTCATGTCGAATATTGCAATTTCATGTAAAAATCTACGTTTAATTTGATAATCTTCTTATTTTTTCCACACTTGAGATTACAGGAATTATTCTACTAAAATCGTTTGATCTCTTATCAGCAATTGTAAGCGTAACACGTGGATTTAACCTGTCACTGACCAACAAAATCCGAGATTTTCTAATATCAACGCAAGATATTTTAATACAAGAGAAACAGAGCAGCGTTATTCTCATCGATTGTATCTTATCGACGAAAGTGAACTATATTCCGACATGTTATTTAGTGTGTCAGTACACATCTCTTCAGGCACTTTTTTATCCATTATCTCCTCTGTTATAACCAACGTAACTAACAAGGCGTTATCACGTAGTAATTGTAAATTTATGATCAATTTTAGGAAAGAAAATTCAAATTAGTGACAACATGAGTACCCTAGACAGAGTAGTTCTGTGTGCTTCGGAAATATGTGGAACTGCAATACTTGTATTCCTTGGATGTGCTGGTTGTATAAATTTTGGTGTCCCACCGACGCATTTACAAATTTGTCTCACATTTGGACTTGCAGTTATGGTTGCTGTGCAGGTACTTACCATAAAAGATGTTTTTTTTTTTTAATTACTATGTTGTTTTCAGTGCTTTGGACATATCTCAGGATCTCACATAAACCCAGTAGTAACTGTTGCAGCAGCCACATTGGGCAACATTCCACTGATACAAGTGCCCATTTATTTCGCTGGTCAAATGCTGGGGGCACTTTCTGGTTTCGCCTTAGTGAAGGTAATGATGACGAGTACGAGCATACACATTAAATTATACCTATATCTTCGTAGTTGGCTACCCCTGCCGAATATCTGCCTAGTAACTCTACAGTAGGTTTATGTTCACCAGAGCTTCATGATGGTGTGAGTCCGGTACAGGGCCTTTTGATAGAATTCTTGATATCTTTAATGTTGACGCTAGTTTGTTGCGGAGTCTGGGATATTAGAAATAATACCAAACATGATTCAGTTCCTATTAGGTTCGGACTAACAATTGCAGTGTTGGCCCTTGCTGGGGTAAGGACCCATTATCCTTTAAATTATATAATTAACTCGAATTTTATTAGGGACCTTACACTGGAGCAAATATGAATCCTGCCAGAAGTTTTGCGCCTGCCTTGTTAAATGGGGATTGGCAAAACCATTGGGTAATACCTTAGCAGACTGTTATTTGTGTATTTTTATACTGTTTTTCTTGTAGGTGTACTGGATTGGTCCGTTAGGAGCTGCTTTCATTGGAGCGTTGTTTTACAGGTTTTTGTTTGGAAAAGAGCCAATTGAAGAAGAACAGGCAAATAACGCCGAAGTGATTCCTTTGAATGACAAAGCATAAACTGAAAATGTTTATGTAATTTTTTATATATAGATGTTTTAATTGTGTGTGTTTAAAATTGTTTGCAAAAAGTACCAACGTTGAAGTAGGTATTATCTTAGAAATAATTACATTTTTCTGTCTTGCTACATTTGCTAAATATTTTTTTATGTGTACATGCTTTAAATACAAATATTTTTGTATATGATGTTGGTATGGTTAAACCGACCTTATTCGCCAATGACAATTTTTTACTTCTTGTTAGTGTTGTTATAAATCACTTACTGCAGTGTTAAAGTCTCTCAAAAACTTAGTAGCTTTTACTATTTAAAACATTTAAAAAATCATGTGTCATTAGTTAATATGTCAAGCTATTATTTTTAACATAAACGGGGAGTATTGTTAAAATGTAATAAGCCTCATTAAAAGTGTTATAAACGTTTTTTGTTTAGGTTAGGGCCCTATTTTGTATACGAAAAATTAACTTTAATATTTAAAATTATTTTTAAATCTGTTAATTAAACTATTAAATGAAGACTTTTACCTGCTAAAATTGCTGAAGTGAAAACTGACTCTAATTTTTCTAGATGTTTAAAAATAATGAAGCTCTTTATAGAGTGGGTTCTACGACTCTATATTTGCAAAAATATGTACCTCAGTAATACTATTTTTCACTTTTTTAAATGACAAGAAATGTACGGATTTCCTTTTAGACACGTTTTCAGTTAGCTCAAACAACAAATCAATTTCTTTTTATGAACATTTCATGCATTTTATACTTAGCTTAGCTGTCACATGTCTGTGCTCATTAATAATTATTTGTTTGTAATGTGATTTGATCTTTATCGATATACAATATAAGGTAATACAGTGCAAAGCTTTGTTGAATGTTTAAAACTTAATAAAATTATATTTTATTATGAAATGTGTGTTATGAATTCTTTGGTTACATTCATGTTTGTTTTTATTTCCCGAGCGTGAGTCAAGGAAGTGTTGTGATCCAGTCGATCGTTGACTTTTCATGACCCCTAGAATATGAAAACATAGATTTTTCATTTCTGTATGTCTACTGTGTGCCGTCTGTCCACGTCTGTATCGATAATCGATTTATAAAAATCGAAGCATTTTTACGATTCTGACTAAAAAAATGAAACACTTGTATTAAATGAATTTTAAATTTTGTCTAAGTGGAGTGTTATTTTTTATAATAAATTACAAAATTAATAAAGAGGTAATCTTCTAAACTATCCGATTGTTGTAAAAATTTGATTGTATAGGAATATTGCGTAAATGGTAAAACGCTGACCAAAATTTACCTGATCATTCCCACTTTTGATGATACGGTGTCATCTCCAACTTTTATAGTACTAAAAAATGTTATTTAAATTTTTTAAATAACATACTCTTCCACTTGTAGTTTATAAATCCGTGTTGAGTTTTTATCATAGGCATCCAGATTTTTGTAAAAAAAAATGTATAACAAAATTTTTATAATTTTTGGAAAACGCTGGATATGTTTTACTGTATTTTAGGGGCGAGGAAAGTTCTGTCGAAATAACCTTCGACCAATATTTTATATTGGTTTTCGAACTTCCATAGGTTAAAAAGGACTGGTGTAACATCAGAGGCGTAATGAGGTGCGTGTGAAATATTGTTGAAGTCATATTTAGATACTATGTGCACATCTCAACTTTCAAAAACATGAGCACCAAAGGGGGATTTAGGTATGCATTTGTCAAAAAAATTCATACATTTTATTGGATTTATTCTCGACTTTACGGAAACCTTGTATGAAATAAATTTAACACGGTTTGTTCAAACATAGTTTGATTAATTTCAAGGAATCTATTTTCAGGCCGTGAAATATTTTTGGATATCATAAAACAACTTAAAATGTAAGTTTTGGACTTATTGATGATAGCAATACTCTAGATGTATGTTAACTGTTAGGAAATCTAACTTATTCTCTTAAAAGTCTCTATCGAACAATTTGTTATTTTTTTGAAAGCAAATATTTTTTTTTTGATAATGTCGGTTTTGTGATAGCAATGTACAAATAATAATAGTAATCGTCAATAAACTGCAATATTTTCAGGGCAGTTAAAAGGACAGATGGAATTCTGTATTTAAAGCTATTTCAGCTTTTAAAAGAAAAAACCTAAGAGGTGGCTTGGGGCTACTATGAACTAATAAATTCGTCATAAATTTGACATTACCACATCTTTTGGTATCTGCCATAAATGACACTTTTTCTGTTAAACGAAAACTGTGTTTCCTGAAGAAATAAAACGAATTTTTACGACGTTTGATTAACAAAGTGGAACAGTTTTATGAAATGAATTTTAAATTTTGTAAGTAGTGTGTTATTTTTATAATAAATTATAGTATTGATAATGAAATGTTCTCACAGGGAGATACATGATAATTATAGATGGGCGTTCAATACAAGAGAGAATAACAATGTATGTTGCTGAATTTTTGGCTACATTTATTTTGATGTATGTCGGTTGCATGGCATGTGTCAGCCCTAGCACCACAGCACTAAGGCACCTCTTAGAAGTTGCTTTTGGTTTTGGTTGTGCTGTTGCAACGGCCATTGAGGTGAGATATAAGGTACATAAAAATATCGAATTATACATATATTAAAATTGACATTATTACATAATTATAGTTAGAAATGAATTTAGATAATATTTTTAGTGTTTTGGAGCAATTTCTGGGTCACATATAAACCCTATCATCACATTGGCAGCTTTTTTGTTAGGAAAACTTCCTCTTGTTGAAATTCCTGGTTACTTAACTGGACAATTTTTAGGATCCACAGCAGCTTACGGATTGATAAGAGTAAGTAATAATATTATTGTAATCACAAATCGGTCACAATTACTCTAAATAAGTCAATGGTTATTTTATTTCAAGAAAAAATTCAAAAACAAGTCAATTTTTATTTTAAGGGGACGCCCTAATTCAAACATTTTAAATGACAAGGGGGATCGAGTAACCTAGCTTGAAAGATATCTTATTAGTAGTAGGTATGGCATATCTCTGTTTTCGAAAAAAAATGCAGGTTTAATTATTTTGTATTTACAGTTTCTTTTTTCTTTTTAATACTATGTGTGTTTGTTAACAGAAATTATTAAATATTTATCTAAAAACATTTATTGTAGATAATGATGGCAGAGAGTCTCATATTTGGTAAATTTTACCCTGATGCTGGAATTTGTGCTAAGGGTCTAAATCCCCAATTAACAACTGCACAAGGATTGGCTATTGAAACAGGTATATCTTTTATCCTGATTTTGATTACTTGTTCTATTGTGGATTCAAGAAATATTATGTCCATGGGCACCGCAGGACTCAAATTCGCTGTTACCATTTTTATACTTGCAATCGTCGCTGTAAGTATTTTATATATTTTTTTGAATTGTTACATAATAAAATCAACTTTAATACCAAAATTGTGAAAAAGAATAACAGACGACTTTACTCCTGTTTAAATACCTAGATAAATGCATACTGTTACCATAATGGTTCCCGACCTGAATGAAAATTTAAAGTAGGGTAAAAATTTTAATTAATTTTTGGTATTGAATGGGAAAATTACGATATCTAAAAGGTGACGAGGTATTTTTATTTAACTTTTTTGGAATTTTATGAATTGTAACCAAATATAGGAAAAATGACTAGGCATAGGTTGGCGTTCAAAAAATGTCGCGAACTATTGTATTAGAATAAGAAAAACTGTTCACGGTTGTTCTTAAAAATGTAATTATTATAGAAGATTCTTCTTGAAAACTTTAAATTTCAGTTGAATCTTGTTTTTTTATTAACGTTAACATGTGTTAATAATTTCTGTTTAGGGTCCGTTTACATCTTGTCATATGAACCCAGCAAGAACGTTCGGCCCTGTAGTAGTGAACAACGCATGGAAGAAAAACAGTTGGGTAAATAAATTTGCACTTTTTTGCTTTGTTATATATACTGACTGGCAAAAAAATGGTCACCCTGGAAGATTCCGCAAAACCACTTTCAAAATTATTAATTTAACTAGTGGTTGTTATTTTATTAACTAAAGAAGCATTCATTGTTGACACATGATGTACAAATTAGCTCAAAAAAGACACAAGTAAATACAGAATTAAATATTTAATTTAAGAAAGTACCAACTGGTCAGTGTATATTATTAAATTCAATTATTAATATATCTTTAAACCAATATTTTTTTAATAAATTAATTACATTTAGGGCTTTTATAAAGTTATCCTATTAGTTAGTTTTCTTGTATGATGCAATTATTGCATAAATAGGAGGTCTAAACTTGGGTGAAAGATTGTGGTCGCATTAGCTGTGTAATTCATTTTCGTTGATAACACGATGTCCGTAAATTTTAATATTGTAATATGTACATATCTGAATTTATGTTACTGATTTTTTGAGTAACGCTATATAGAATTATAAGAAATATCAACGCATTCACCAACCTTTTTCGGGTCTTTCCCAAAACTTTCTAAATTGCAGGGGATTCCTCATCAAATTCAATAAATGCGAGCAATGACATGTTACACAAACAGTTAGGTAGACCATGTGCCGTATTGAAACAATTTTTGTGACTCTTACAACCATGGGCGCCCATATGGGGGGGCCAGGGGGGGCCATGGCCCCCCCTGAGATTCTACGTCAATTTCCTTTTTATTTGTCAAATTTAAACTTCAGCACATTTGTAAGAGTAGGTACCTACAACATGCCCTACATTTTCAGTTTTATTGCCACACAAACACAGAAATGTGACAAACTTAGACCATCTGGTTTTGAAACCCTTTGTTCGGCCCAGATTTGCCTGGAAACGTCATAAATCTATCGTTTTTAACCGGTACTGAATTATGGATTGTTTCATTATTTGCTTTTTACAGTTATTACAAGAGCAAACACTTTATTGCTTATACCCATTCCGTTTTCACTTTTTATATGTGGTGAAGTGACGAACAGTTGTTGAACCGGCGTTTTATTGGCTATAATTATTATTATTTCTTTATTTCAAAATTTGAGCGTAAGTACTCTTCATTAAATTAAATTAAATATCTGTTTAAATTTTAAATTTAATATTTTATTTAGAAACAGAAAAATATAGATATTCGAAAATTCTTCAAGAGAAAAATTACAAATACTGATGATACTTCAGCTAATAAGAACTATAAAATAAGTGACAAGGCTGATCGTGATAGCGGTAATAACGTAACAATGTGCACTAGTGGTGTTATTTATTACTATTGTCTTTGCCATTTCTATTGAAACACCACCTGTTGATTTTGCTTAAAATTTAGCAATTGATATCAGCTTTCGGTTGATTGACAACGGCTTTTAGTTAGAAAATTGTCTGAATATGAACGTTGCCAAATTTACGATTAACAAGTGGTGTTTCAATAGAAATGGCAAACACTTTACTGATGGCGGTTTTTCAGAGTAGCCATCGACGTCGAGTGGAAATTTCGGTTGCTCCAAAACTGTTTCACCAGTGGGCGTACGAACCACAACACAGATAGCATTGAAAATTATTTTAAAATAGGCACTTTTATTCCATACCTGGATCATTTAATTCTTTCCCTAACAACACGATTTTCCGAAACAAAACTGTCACTATACTCATTATTTTCTTTACATCGAAAGAATATGCATAACTTAAAACCAAGTTGCTTTAAAGGGTTGGGCGAATTTTACTCCACTGACAATTTATCAGACGAAATCCAAAATTGGCAGGATTTTGTAAAAATAAAAAACCTTGACAGTAGTATTTTTATGGAAGATTTGCCAAAAGAGCATGTTAGTTTTTTCCAAGTATCAAAAAATTTTTGATTAATTTAATATTTTTATACAATTTTGACATGTAAACAAACGTTTATTTTGCCGTCAGTAGGCAACTAAAGCTTTGGTTTATCCGGTAGCACCATAAAATTTTTAAACCGCTAGCGAAATAAAATTTTTATTTTGCTGTTTTAAAACCATGGTTACCATTTCTGTAATTTCTCCAGTGTCTTGCTGCTTTTTCCATCTGAGGAACTTTTGATACACTTTCTGATCTGGTCTTTTCTGGGAGCAAGTTTTGTCGTTAGAATCTTGCATGATTTTGCAATTTTTCGATAATTTTAGTTTGTTTAAAATAAACAAACACCGTCGCCAAAGTCACATACTACACACACACACCTGATATTGTACACTAAATTCTACGCATATAAAACTTTTATTTGGTCGCTGTCAATTCTGACGTTTCTCGAGTCTGAACTTTGAATCACCAATTTTTTCACAATTTGGGACTTGGGGTTGTCAAAATTGAATAAAATTTTGTATTTCACTCGCGGTTAAAATGAATGTGTAACTCGCGGTCTTAAGGCGCTCGCGGCATACGCCGCTCTCGCCTTAAACTGACCGCTCATTAAACATTCACTTTAACCGCTTGTATAATAAATAACTATTATAACTTTTTAATTTTAATATTTTACATTTATTTTTGTTAATAATAAGAATAATGTTTTTATAGGGTTATTTGCGAGTGGATTTGATTAATGCAGTTGATGATTAAAATATATATTTGTAACAGTAAAGATTTGTATCATTATATTATTTGTATATACAAGAATAGAGTATATTACAAAAATTTCAGGGTGGCCCCCCCTGAGAATGGTTTCTATGGGCGCCCATGCTTACAACAGAAGAAGGTCTTTCTAGGCAAGCGGATTTACTGCCTCCTCTGCGACGAACTCGCAAAAGTTATCACAAGTTGAGTAGTAATTAAACCACAGCTACATTATATCTTCAGTGGAACCAATTTTATCCCGGTAAAATAGGACCCGTGAGCTCCTATTACAGCAGTTACATTTCGCTTTGATACAGTAGAAATGTAAACTGTAGAAAAAGTGGAAACTGAACCGTGCAACTTGAGAGAAAAAAGTCGTTAAGCAGGAACTCTAACCGGCAATCTGGTGACCGATGATTCAATACCTTGTTCATTAAGCTACCATTTGTCGTAGCGGAAATCCTGGAAAAAACGTGATAACAAGGACTTCTTTGAACTCTTTACCGGCACAAAACAAGTTACAGGAATCGGGAAGTTAAACGCAGATTATAAAGCTTCATTATTACCAAGTCGTGATCGTCACCAGTAGTCCGTCAATCATCATCATCATCATTATGCTATGATCTTTTTGGCCAAACCTTGTTTTAAAATAATTGTAAATTTTGAACCTAAGGTCTAAGGTAAACAAAAAGAACTGCTTTCTAATTGCCAGCATAAAAATAATAAATTGCAGAAAAGACGACTTTGTGTTATATTGCTACTCTAATGTTAGGCATAAGATCTCAATCAATTATAGTGGGTGAGTCGGTGAGCGTGGTCATCGATTTTTCACTAAGTATTACTTTATTAGAGATTATACTCTAAAATATTTTTTAATTATTCAGAATGTTCTATTTTTAAGGCGTAACACACAATTTAGTTTTTTTAAATGAATTACCCTATTTACATATTTTGATTGACTTTTTTTTAGTGTGTACAACCACAATTTTTTTTTTAAATTCCGATAGGACGTTGTCACGTTATTTAATTTTTATTCAAATTTTTGGCAATGGAAGGGTTCACAAAAAATGGCAATAGGCTTCTTTTTAACATCTGTCTTACAATATTTTAAGAACAAAACAGTCTGTGTAGTTTAAAATAATTTTAGAGTATAGTGAAATCTTTTCGTGGGATAATATATTATGTGCTATACTTTTTTTAATTTTCTGAAACAAAAAGTAATGGTTATTGCATTAAGTATGCCCTCCTAAAATAACTATTTAGTTAAGTAGTAAAATGAAAATAACTTATGTGTTTTTCAGATATATTGGGCTGGACCATTTGGAGGTTCCGCTTTGGCTACTATTTGCTACATTATATTTTTCTGTGATAATATGTAGTATAGTTTAATTGTAAATGTATTTAACTAATATCTAACTTTGTCAACTTTACATATATAGGCATTTGTCAATTATACCTTATTAATAAAATACATGTTGCATAGTAGAAGAGTGCAGTGGTTTGATGCGTCGGAAGGCTTAATACGTAAAAAGACTTGATACATTTTCAAATTAGGCGCCCAGTTTGAAACTAAGTAAAATTTTAATAAGTGGTGAAGATTTTTAAATAGGCTTCTTCTGTCATCTGATCCCTTAATACCTTCTTTAAGGAAGGTCCACTGAAATAAAATTAAAATGCTACCAGAAGTTCATCAACTTTTAAAAAACGAATTAAACAAAAGTGATACCGAGGAAACAGAAGCGATTTCACCAGTGACGGCTCGTGCCAAAAAAACGTGGGTCGGCCAAACATGAGGATAACTCTAATTAGTTTTTTAGTTAATAAAATGTCATTGTCATTCGTTAAATCAGTTTTACGCCGTTTCGCAGATGGAGGAGCTATATCAGCAATTTTAAAGTAGCAATCTCTTCAACATCAGAATATATCTTTGAAAATAATGATCTTCATTTCGAATTCTTTTTAAAAAAATTGCTAACTGCTTAAAGTTGACTTGATTATCCGAACCACTTGTTCCGTCGTTACCTCGAAATGCCATTTCTTGTGTTGATAGAAAAATAATCATGTTTATTAAATGTTTTACCATAATTCTGTTTTCTCGAACAGTCTCATTGTATTTATTTATATATGTATTCGTGTCTGGCACTATCCAACGAATTCGCGATATTGTGTTTTCCGAACAATTTAAATTTTAGAGTCAAATAAATATGCTCCTTAGAAATTTTGCGTTTGGCCAGTGCACGATGAACTTCTTTTAAATTATCACAACCACTAGAATTATAAGGGTTCTTGGATTCTGAAAATAATAAACAATACCAGAAAAATAATTTGTTACGTGTTTCGCTGCCAGCTAACGAAGGATATTTACAGTAGAGTGTTTTAGAAAATGCACGATTATGACCAGGCTTCGTTTGAATCAAATTGATAATTAACGTTGCTTCACAAAAACTTTATGGCCATAAGTTAGTTCTTTAAATTTATGTATTAATAAATAATTAACCAAGTCGCCATTCATGTCAACTATATTGCGAAAAGTGTCCATCGTGAGTTTTTATACGAATTAATATATATATATATTTAATTATTTACCAATTCAATCAAGCGCTTCGTGCAACGTGCAACCAACACTGGTCAAAAATATTCATCGTTCGTTCATCTTCGGTTTACTAATCGTCCAAGTACGTTGGATTGCTACAACCGAGCCGGCCGGCCGACCGCGGGTGGAAACTATACGGGAATTCACGGACTATTTTATGTAAAATATTTTTTATTACAGGAGATGAATACAATTTCAACACTCTACAGTTAGGAATATACCGTATTAAGATATATATGATCAACTGATTGATAAAAAGATTGCAGTATTGTTTGAATCATCCAATTTTACCCAACTAAATTAAATTATTAACGACTTTCTTAAATTTTGAAACTTTATGCTTGACATGCATAATTCTTTAATCAGTTTTTAATAATTTATGAAATAATGAAAAACTGTAAATATTGAAATGAATAAAATAAAAGAGCGATAAGTAGAAACGAGCGCGCCGCATCCACGGTGTCGTCTGCGTCTGCGGCAAAATCGGCCAGAGCGCTATCGGCCGATGTTGTGTGTTTCAATCTACGCCAGAATTGTAACTTAATGCAGCCATATACCGATCGGAAAGCATAAGCCGTAGCTCGTAGATTACTGTTGGTAATTTTTCAACGCATCGGCCGGCCGGGCCCGTGTCTATATAGGCATTTGACATAGTAAAATAGTTTCTCTCCGGGATGAATTTAAAACATTAAATTGTGTCTTCATTATTAGAAATTAATAGTAATTATTTTTATTTATTTATGTTTATTAATTTTTTAATTTTTAAAAATTATAGTATCAGTATGCTAATAAAAAATTTGGATTTTCAAAAAAAAATTGTTTTCTTACTTCTCAAATTATTTGGTACGGCCTGGCCGACCCTGCCGTCCCTGACGAGCCGTCACTGGATTTCACTATTTGTTTCATTCGATGAAACAAATAGTGAAATCAGTTTCGAAAGTGATGAAATTTAATAAGTATGTATATATTTTTTTAAGCAGGCTAGTTTTTTTTGTTGTGATTGTTTCTTAATTCTTATTATATTAATAATGATTATTAAACACTAACAACTTTTAAATATGGAAGTTTTTACTTGTATTTTAATAATTGATTTTATTACATACCACATTTCAGTAAATTTTCAATTCAAAATTAGCAAACCATGTTTTAAAATAAAATTAATGCAATTTGATAGAAATCATAAAGTTTTTTAATGAATTTAGGCTGTTTCAGAATTTTGGCCACATATTTTTGATTTCGTCCCACTGTGTAACGCCCGATGGACGTCCTAGAGTGGAGAAGATGCGGTTTATGCTGAGATTTCCTTAGAGGCCAAAACTGTGCTGTTCACTCTTTAAGAGCAGTCTTTAAATGCTAATTCTTATCTATGGGACATTCAAGATTACGTTGTTCCTTTCGCACTTTTTATAGGATCAGATTTCTATCTTATGCAAGATAACGCAAGACCTCATAAGGCAAGGTGTGCATGCAATACTTTTAAGAAGTGGGAATTGTAGTTTTAGAGTGGCCGTGAATGAGTCCGGACATGAATCCTACTGAGCATGTCTGGGACGAGTTATGAAGACGTGTCAAAGCTCGGTAATTTTAGTTGATTTGTCAGATTTTTGGAATTTATCCACTTTATAAAGAAAAAAAAGCCGAATACCCAGTGTTATGAATAAGTATATATTATTTACAAGAGTGCACAAAATATAGTTAATATAGTTAATTGAGGTGCAATTTTTCAGTCTTCTTAAGAGAAGTCCCTAGATTTGGCGTGTGGGAGTTTCAACACATTTTCAGAAATTATCTTATTAAGAGCAGTTTTTTTTTAAAACAGTTTGTTGTCATCTTCTTTTTAGCATTTATATCTCAGCTATTTATGGTAATTTCGGAACTCGGTTTTCTCACAAAACTCTAGACAGTACCCAAGAAATATTATCGACCTTTTTTGTTGGAAATGTGATACAGTAAAATCAGTTTTTATGGAAGAAATTGCTTTTGCTGTGCTTTTGTGGTAAAGGGTATATGCATATAACTTAATAAAGCTTCCTGGTCAATCGTTTTGCAGAAGATAAAAAGTAATACGATCAAAAATAATTCTAATTTTGTAATCATTTTACCGTTGTTTACGAATTTCTATCCTTCAAATGTTTCATGAGTCTAAGACGAGTGTCACACTTAGAAGTTATTGTCGTGAATAAAGCCCGTTTACTGATTTTTACGAAGTAAACTAATCAGTAATCACTGATCAAAATGACGATGATCAATATGAGATTCTGTAAGTGAAGATATAACAGTGCTTTTAGAAATAATGAATATGTTTTTCTGTAGGGAGGAGAATGACATGGTCAGATTCTGTAAAAATTGATGTAAGATTGACACGCATGCTGTCAGAATTTTTTGGCACTTTTATATTAATATTCGTTGGATGTATGGGCTGTGTATTTCATAATCCCATTACAGCACGACATCATCTGGAAGGTGCTTTTGCTTTCGCTTTTGCTGTTACAACGGCGATTCAGGTTTATCATCAAAATGAAAATATGAATCTCTTCACATCCATCTCGTAATATTTTAGTGTTTTGCCCATGTTTCTGGATCACATATTAATCCAATGTTGTCAATTGCGGGTTGTATTTGTGGACAAATATCTGTTCTAGCAGTACCTTTTTATATAGTATCTCAATGCGCAGGAGCATTAGCAGGATATGGGATGGTTGCGGTAAGTTATTGTTATTAGAGTTATTACTAATTATTATTAGTTTAGGTACTACAGGGTTAAACAATAATATCCATTATGGTGCAAATTTTTGTCACCTTGCCAACAAATATTAAACTGAGAAAAAACGCATGTTCAGGTAAAGTCAAAAACAAAACAACAAAACGAAACGTCATTTGCGTCATAGATTTGTATATTACAACCAAGTGGTTCAAAATGTTTTGATGTAACATTTTTTTACGTATGTCAAAATATGGAGAGTAAAATGAAAAGCTTGACATGTTTTTGCATTTTTTTCAAAAACAAATGCTGCGCTTTTTATGAATTTTGTGCATTACTTTATCATAATTTTGTACAGTAAACTCATTTGACATGCACCTTGAAAACTTTTACGAGTTAAGTTATTGTTATTAATTTTTTGTTTTAGTACGAGATTAAACTATGCACATCGAAGTAAATTCATTTTTTATTATTTTAATAACGTTTTTAAATGAAATTTTAATAATTTACATATTAGGTACTACAAATGTATTATTAGCATATGCGTATTCAAAAATTAATATTTATATTTATTTGCATTGTTTATCCACAAGTGCTTTTATAAATTGATACCTGCCCCAACTGAAAGTATAATTAAAGGTAGAATTACTAATTCCCTATTTAATCTTAATATTAAAGTAAAAAACTTTAAAGATTTTATATAATTTATTAGTAGGCACTGCTACATATGTTTCGGTACACAGTACCGTCTTCAGGCAGAAGAGAAACTAGTTTTAACGGAGCTAATTTCAGGGGAGATTTGATTATCTCGGTTTGGTCATTCATTAATTTATCGAGTCTACTGTACCTGTTTATTTGCAAACATTTTAGCGCGTTTAATATTGAACCTTTATTTTTCATGGGTCAAATTTTGAAATCGTCATTGAAATTGTGGTTTTCTTGAATTAAGTGGTTCACGTATGTGGAATTTGATTTTTTATTGACGTATGATGACCTGTGTTTTTTCTTCTTTGAGGGCAATCACTACCCACATATTTTAGTTAAAAATTCAAAAAATGTTGACGGTATACAAGCATTTTTTTTCTGTTATATTCGAATTAATAATGTTATTGAAGTGCAAAATCTACAAATATCTAAAACCAATTAATTTTACAAAATCAGTCATTATTTGAAAAAAAACTATAGGTATTTATAATGTTATGATTGCAGAATTTTTGTTTGAAATGAATCTGAATGTATAGAGTGCATCTGTTTCTTTGTAAGTGTTGACAGATACCTACACGCAAAAGTTTTGTTTTTAGTGATAAATTTTTTGCTTGTAATTAACATTTTTCAACTAAGGACGTACTGTTAAAAAAGGCTCCACAAAACGTAATGTATATTATTGCCTCTAAAATTATATAGCATCATTTAGTATTTCTGGTTATTCAGCCTGATAACGTTACGCTAGAGCTCGGAGCACTAGTTACTGTAACCTTTCATCAAATTTTTATTTAAATAGTACTCCGTTTTAGCTCCTGGCACCATATTATGACAGATTTGGTATGCTTGAAGGATCAGTAGTAGAAGACTCTGGAGTATGTGCAACAGACATAAGTCCACATTTAGAACTGTGGCAAGGATTTTTTATAGAAGCAGGAATATCTGGTGTAACAGCTCTAGTTTTCTGCGCAGCAATTGACAGTAGAAATAAAATAATCGAAGAATCACTTCCCCTACGTTTTGGTCTGGCTATTGGAACTCTTGGATTAATAGCTGTAAGGCCACTTAAAGTCGCAGACGAAACTTAACGACAGAGAAACGTCACAATGTGGTAAAAATTTAGGTTAACACCATTGTGTCACTTATACGTCAAGAGAATGTTCAAATCCACATTATACATATCTGTCACTTGGTCACTCTGTTTTGACACTTAAATGCAGTGGTTAAAGCTTCAAAATTTTGACAAATCAAGTGTAGGCTATTAGTGTGAATCCAGATTGTCCTTAAATTTTGTCTGCGACGTTACATCTTATGTTGTTGTTGCGATTCAAATGAATTTTAATCAAAGAATCTCTAGAAAAGTAAACGGTTCATCTCCTAGGTCACCAGTGCTGTTGACTAAAATGTTGGTTTTTGTTTGTTTGAGTAATTTTTTTTCATTGAAATCATTTAAAAGTATCAAGACAAACAAAAACCGAATATATACATTCTACCAAGTTTAAAAAAATTCTCAATGCAAAAAAGAAACAAACGCATTGATTTACTGAATACTTAAACAAACTGGACCTTTTGACAGAAATTGAACCTTTTGACAGAAATTGAACCTGTTATCTGCTGTACTTCAGCTAAACGAACTGGAGAAACCCAATTTGAAGAAAATAACGTCGTCTAATTAATCTGTATACCGATTTTGTCACAAGAATCAGTCAAAAATATTAATTTTTTTTGCATTGATGAATGATTTTTAAATTTCGATATTATGTACATTGAAATAAGCTTTCAAAAGAGGAGTCTACTCTCCATGCTATTTAAGTTGTTTTGTCATAGTTTCATAGTATAATTTTGATATTTCAAGGTCACAGCCCGTCGCTATCAGAAGGTCAGCATCATTTGATTACTCATCCATAAGTTTTAAATTTCAAAGTTGCACCAGCGGTTTCAAAGTTATGAGGGGTAAAGTAAAAATTTATGATAAAATACATAATTTACGATGAAATGAAAGAAAAAACAAGCACTGATTTTAGACATTAAGCCAAATAATTAAATAATTTAAGATATTTGAAACTATAATTTTTGTAAATTAAATGTTTTTATAGGCTCCTTTTTCATCTTCTCATATGAATCCGGCAAGAACTTTGGGTCCTATGGTAGTAAATGGATATCATAAAAATCACTGGGTTTGTATATTAAAATCACGAACATCTGGTAAATCTGAAGGCACTTTATGCGTTTTAAATTTGATCTTTGTAGCTTTATTGGGTTGCACCTATATCGGCAAGTATAAGTAGTGCAATCACCTACAATATATTTTGGGCTGCTCCTTAGTTACCATGTGTTTCTGTTTATGTTTACAAATAATTTGTTATGAAAAATGTACCTACCTATAATTTCGATTTCGTTAAATACGTTGAAAAATCAGTAGTCTATTATATTTATATTAGTTATTAGAAGTAGCATTCTGGGGAGAGATTAAATATCTTGCTTAAGAAAAAGTCCAGAACTCTGATAGGTTTTTATGAGAAACGCATTGACTATATTCATTTACTGATCAGTCTTAGATAAAATTTAAATTACGACTGAAGTAATTTTTTAAACAAATTTCTTTTTGCAAAATTTGTGTAAAAAACAGTAAAAAAAGGTGGCAGGAATGCCACTAATGCCATTAATTCTGAATAAATAATAAGGAAAAATGTGATTTAAGGTTAGTCCCTACGTTTTTCTGAGTGTTCAATACATTTTCAGCAGGTAACATCCCTACTATTAACAGACTCACTTCGGGAATTCCTAATAACAATTACACTAGTTATGCTAAGGTTGGTTTCGCTATGGTTTTATATATTCTTAGTTTGATTTGCCTTGATATTTCTTTACTTTTCATAATTGTTCTTAATCCTCTTGCAGTTCTATTTCTTTATCTTCTTGGCATATGTTGTTATCAACACCCCTAAGTACATATAAACATTTCTACTTCTTCAAATTCTACTTTTATTCCTTCTTGTCTGTCTATTGGTAGGTTGTTCTTGTTTCTACTTCCACAGTTATTCTTTAGTTCCATGTATTTTCTTTTTTCTATATTAAATTCTAAGACTACCTCTTCTGCTTGTCTCATTAGCTTTGCTGTAATCCTTTCTAATTCCTTTCTGGTCCTAGCTAGTAGGACTAAATCGTCTACGTAGGCTAGACATTGATGGCTTCTGTTGAATAGCAGACCCTTCCTGTTTATATCACTTTTCCTTGTAATACTCTCTAGAACCAGATTGAAATGAGTGGTGACAACGGATCACCTTGTCTGAGTCCTTGTTTAACATTGAAACTGTCGCTAGTTTTTCCTTTACCTTTTACTCTGCTTATTGTGTTTTTCAATGTGATTTTTATTAGGTTTATTAGTTTTTCGGGAATATCTAGTTCTCTCAATATGTTTATTAACTTCGTCCTGTTCACCATATCGTAAGCTCTTTTGACATCCACGAAGAGTAAATGAGTAGGAATTCCATATTCGTAGTTTCCTATCATGATTTGTTTCAACATAAATATTTTTCCTTTTCTAAAGCCTTCTAGAGCTTCTTCCATATATCCTTCAAGTCTTCTTTTTATTATCGATGCCAGTGTACGTAAAGCCGGAATTCCACTGAGGCAACATGTAGCATGCGGCATTGACGCATGCTACACACAGCGACATTAATTGAAATTTTATGCCACATTGTCGCACGCCTACAACAGGCAACACTAGGCAACAAGTATCAAGCAACATGTCGTTCAGTGTTGCCTCAGTGGAATTCCGTCTTAACGTCTAATAACGCAATCCCACGGTAGTTTTCGCAGCTTCTTCTGCCACCTTTTTTAAAGAGCGGCGTTATTAGTGCTCCTTTACAGCTATCCGGCATTTCTTCCGTTTCCCAAATTTGCTTTATTACCAGCTGGATATACTCTTTCAGTTTTGCACCTCCATATTTTAATTTTATTTTGTAATTGCATTTTTCCCTGAGCTTTTGTTATTCCTCATCTGATTTATGATCTCCTCTATCTCTTCTCTTGTTGGGAATGCTATACTTTCATTACTTAAAAATTCTTTTTTTGGTACTTGTTTTTGTTCTTCTCTCTGACCTCCTCTGATTTCGCTATTTAATATTTGTTCGAAATTTTGTTTCCATCTTCTTAATTTTCCTTCATCGTCAGCGGTTAAGTTGCCTTCTATATATCTTTTATACATTGCATAGATTCGTGTTTTGTTGATTTTACGTTTTGTATGTCTTTATAAGAGTTTCTTTTTTCCTGCGACATAAGGTATTTGCTTAACTATCTTTCTTTGACTGTTATAATTCTTGTACTTTTTTCGTTTCTTATCTCCGGCATTTTCATTCTGAGTAACTTTTTATGTTTTATTTCTGTTTCACATTCTGCGTCTAACCATTCTTTCCTTTCTCTTGCTATTGTTTTACCCACATGTCTTTTTGAAGCTTCTGTTACTATTCGTTCTATATTGTTCCATTTGGTATTTATATTTTTTTCTTTTGAAAAATCTTGCTTTTCGAGGTATCTTTCTATGTCTGCTTCATATTTGGTTTTGAGTTCCTGTGCTTGCAATTCTTCTGTATTATACCTTACTTCGTGATTCCTCATGTGTTCTTTGTCTTCCCCTTTCCATTGCTTTAGCTTTGCCCTTACCAAAAAGTGTTCTGAATCTGTGTCGGCCCCTCGACAGGTTTTCACTGATATTATTAACCTAGAGTGTTTCTCTTGGATCAGTACGTGATCCATCTGCTTTGTTTCTTATTTTCCTGGAATGATCCATGTTCCTTTGTGTTTTCGTTGAGATTGCGTACTTACTATTTTCATATTTCTTTCTATAGCCAATTCCATTAATCTTAGACCATTGTTGTTTGATTCTTCATGCTTGCTGTGTTTTCCTACTATTTCTTTATATATTTCTTCTCTCCCTACTTTTGCATTTGCGTCTCCCATTATAATTATGATATCTCTTTTTGGTATTTTGTCGATAACTCTGTCCATTTTTTTATAGAATGCACCCTATACATCATCTTCTTTTTCTTCTGACGGTGCATGTATATTTAAAACCGTTTAGTTCCGCATTACCTTTACCTTGTCGTCATATTTTGCCAATCTGATTAACATGTTTTTCCCCTAGCTTCGCAACGCTCTTAATTTCTACATTTACGTTTAATGACTTATCTATAAAGCTTCCTGCGCCATTTGTTAACTCGTATCGGTCATCAGGTATCTATTTTTAATCCTTGTAACGATTGGAAAATGAGAAAATAAAAAACAACGTGGTGTTACAAGAACTAACACTGAACCTGTACTCTATAAAAATAAAGACTAACATGTATCGAGAGAGTTGAGTTCATCGGATCATCGATGTATCTGATTTAGCATTCTAAAGAATGAAGAGTCGGAACGGAAGCATAGAGATCCAAGAGCGCCAAACTCCTACAAGAAGGTTCTCGCGGAAAGGGTTTTGGTGATGCCAAACACATAATGTAAAAGGAATTCGAATCTTTTATTATACCGCTGTCCATTTTTTCAGAGCTTAGTTCGCTCTGGGTTACATACTAGCGGCTGGAGGGAAGTAAGAGCTGTTTTTATCCCTAAACCTGGGCGTAATATGTATGCTGAGGCTACAACCATGTTCGGGAAGGGTTGTCGGCTAAAATATACCCTTGTACTACCTTGTACCTAATCCACCACGTGGAAAGTCTGCTGGGTTGGTCCTGCAGCAAATCGTTACGGCGAAAGATGCGTGGTTGGAGGGTGGATCACTTGTCCCTGGATCACCTTCTAAACGGACTGTTGGGTATCCTGTGAGGGATCAAGCTCCGGCATATACTCAAACGAAGCAAATCTGAATGTCTCGAAATTATTGAATAACATACCACCGAATATATGCAAAGGACTCCCTCTGGAATCTATATCTTCACAGAAAGCTAGACTTGCAAGCTAGCAGGCACACATCGCAGCTTGTCAGGAAATGTCACAATCGAATACAGGATTTAGCGGAGCACAACACAAAAATTGTACTCAGCTGGATATCTGGACATATAGCTTGTAAAGCCACGATATTCGAGGTGCGCCTATAAATTGTATCCTGGTTTTTATTAACGGCGCAAGACTCTTTTAAAACTCGATATTATAGGGGCTCGCACACAATGGACCAAAAGGCCCCGGTATGTGGCTGTATGATAATAGGGTCTAAAAAAACAAGACTCCTCCTAACCGTCATCGACTCAGCTGGTGCTTGCCACAATAACCATTGGGGTGGAATTTCCAAAAATCGTTTCTTAATAGGTGCTCTCATTTCAAAGGTAACCCACTGTCCGAATTTCATGTTTCTAGCTTCAGTAGTCTAGGTTCTGCGTTGATGAATTAGTCAGTGAAGTCAAACACTTTTATACATACTTAATATGATTGTATCAATGTGTAGATTACCCATAGATTACCTATAAGATTACCATTCTCTCAATGTTTGTTTCCATAGCATTCTGATAAACACACAGATATAAATGTAACTATAGTTATATCAAACGTCAAAAAATTGTTTTGGTTTCTGTTAAAAAATACCAAACGTTAAATATTTTCTAGTTTATTGGTTTAAAATGAATCTGAAGTTCTGTAAACTGATGATACGCATCTTTAGACAAAAAAATTAATTTCCTTTTTTTAGGGAAGTTTGTGAAAGTAAAAAGTGAAATATCCTGGTTAGACAAGCTATCACTAGCATTCGCAGAATATTGTGGAACTGTAATATTTGTAAGCATTGGTTGTATGGGAAGTACATTCGAACGTTCTCATGAGTTAGAAATGGAAAGTCCGTTCGCCCTCGGGATGGGTGTCATGATCGCAATGCAGGTAGCATTATGCTTTTTTAACTTTTTATCTACTTCGTAATTTTGTATATGCTTCTAGATTTTTGGGAGAATATCAGGCGGTCATGTTAATCCTATGATAAGTATTACCTCCGTATTAATTGGACAACTTTCGGTGATCGATGCACTATGTTACATAGTGGCTCAGTTTACAGGGGCATTTGCTGCGCAGATAATGCTTCTGGTAAATATATACGCTGTGATCTTTCTTTTTTAATCAATTGATTATAAAATCAATAATATAACTGAATTATATTTTACATCACGTAAGTATTAAAATAGCACTTGCTATATAATTTGTATTTGAAATTAAATAAACACAAAATTCAGAATTTACCGAACTATACTTTAAATATGCAGGATAATAAGCAGAACTGTTTAATCATAAACCTCTATTTTGTTTTAATATACAGGGAATTTATTTACGACACTACACAATATTTGAAATTAGTCACAATTCAAAGGACCACCACTATGAAGAATTTTCTGTTAAGTTGGTGAATATTTTATGCTCACTGAGAGTAAAGTTTAAGTAGTAGTAATTGGATAATGCATGGAATCGATATCTATCATTTATAACGGATGGAACGAAAAGAAATTCTCAGTAAAACAAAGTCTTTTTAAACATTATAAAATAAAACTATCTGCTTGCGAATATATATTTTGAGTTTGATCATATAACCAAGTTAATAACACTATAAACTAAAGCTAGACCTGTCAGAACATAACAAGACCAATAATTCTCTTTTAGTTGTTGCTACCAAACTTATACGTTTATGGTACACCAAACCCCAGAGACGGCGATTACAAATTTTGTTCACCTCGAATCAGTGCCGAAATGTCAGGAGGAAAAGCTCTGGGCTTAGAAGGGGTTATCACATTTTTATTAACTATGTCATTTTGCGGAATGTGGGATTTAAGGAATGAGAAGTGGATCGATTCCAGACCCTTAAGACTTGGTGTTATAATATCGGGGCTAACGATTGCTGCTGTAAGGACGAATGTTCATACTAGACTTCATAATGTTGTTAAAAATTTTAGTGGCCTTTTACCGGTGGTTTCCTGAATCCTGCAAGGACTTTGGCGGCAGCTGCAGTAAACAATTTTTGGGAGTATTGTCATGTAAGTCTTTGTGTTAAGAAAACTATTGTGGCAAAAAGATAATAATTGCTTTTAATTTGAATGTTTTGACAAATACATATGATATTAATACTGGGTGACTAAACTTTTGTGTTGGTAATTCTGAATAACTAGGCAGTCTTAACATGTCAGTTAACAGTTCTCAACTTTGACAGGAGCACGCCTAACATGCCTTACAAACGTGGTGAGAGGATGACATGGGGTCCTAAATTTCATTTTGACAATCAAGTCAAGAATGCCGTCAAAAAATTTTAAATATGTTGCCAACCTGACACAAAAAATCCCAATCATTAATAGTCACCCAGTATTTAACAACACAGTAGAAAAATAGTAGTCTGAACACGAACGTTGCCAAATTTACAGTTACCAAGTGGTGTTTTGATAGAGGTAGTAGAAGTCGTTTGAAATTATTTTTATTAGTGTTAGTCTTTGTCATTTCTATTGAAACACCACTTGTTATTCGCAAATTTGGCAACGTTCATATTCAGACAATTTTCTAACTAAAAGCCGTTGTCAATCAATCGAAAGCTGTTACCCATTGCTAAATTTTAAGCAAAATCAACAGGTGGTGTTTCAATAGAAATTGCAAAGAGAATAAGAGCCAGTAACGACTACAACATTTCGTTATTTGATAACTTGCTACTAGATTAGAAAATGCTATTAATTTAAATTAGCCAACGTTGTCAGATTTCAGTTAAATCAAAAAGTAATCCAACGAAATATTTAGCTGTACCTATATTAAGAAGGTAGCACATTAAAAAGATTAAAATTGCGACGTCAATTCTTCAACTTTGAAATTTAATATTTTCCAAAGTTTAGTTCAGACATTTTTTAACAATTTTTGCAAGGTTTTCAGTGGTTTCTTAACAACGTATAATAGAACTTATCCGTGATTTTTTAATACCTTGCATATCTAAGTATCTACTTGTTACACACAATTTGTTTTTAGCATACATATTTTAGTACAGTGTTTATTTTGAAAAAATTAACCACCACCTTTTAATTTGAAAATAAGCAGCTGTGCAATACAATTTTGAAACGCTGCAATTTAGATGCAATTTTTGGTACGCAATTTTCGTGTCCAAAAATGCGGGCTTACTAATAATATCATTCACATTTTTCTAATTCAGTGAGTTCTGTTTTCAGAATAAAAAATATATGACAAGAATGACATATTTTTATTGGGGGTTGACAGTTTTAGATGAGATCTCATTCTTCAATGTTCCTTTTAGTACTGAAATAATTTTATTTTTAGATGTACTTGATTGGACAGTTACTAGGAGGTGTCTTAGGAGCACTTACTTATATTATATTTTTCATCCAGCTTGAGCCGTCGCAAGATGTAACTGCACCGCCAGCGGAAGAAGAAAAAGCATAATAAAATTTCAAAAACTAATTTTACTTAACACAGACGTGTATTGTAGTTTTTTGATCTTCAAACTTTATGGTAGAATAGTTAAAGAGATATGCTATAGTATAACCTTACCTCCACTTTATTTCCCAATTTTTTATTATGAATTAGTTTCTGATTTTTAATATGCAAAAACAAAACATAATATTTGTTAAAAATATTGTTATTTTTAATTTATTTGTTAATTGTCGAAGTTATGAGCACGTTTTTTTAATAAAAAGGTTGCTAGAATGTGGTATTGGTCAATGTTTCGGACGAAGAGAGTTCCGAAAGCTTCGATGTAACTGTCGCATTTTATCAGTCTTCTGTGTTTGAAATTCTGTTGTGTGAGTGCTGATAGAGCTAATTCTCCATCTTAAAAATTGATGACTTAAATGCACTGTGCAGTGTTTTGAACAACAATATCACAGCGCTATAGTATATTTACATTTTGCGGTCATGAAAGTGCTTTGTTTTGAATGAAGTTCAACAACTTCAAAAACTGTGTTGAAACTCATTTTTCTTCCCGAGCGAAAGCGAAGGAAGTATTGGAAGTATTGTAATTGAGTCCGTCGACCGACTCTCCACTTTTACGTTTTCTCGACCTTTTATGACCCCTACAGTAGTCTCCCGTTTCCGTCTGTCTGTATGTCTATCTGTTTGTCTGACTGACTACTGACTGGTGTCTGTATCATTATTTATTAGACACATAATCTGAGAAACTGCTGAATCGATTGCTAACAAATTTTGTATGTATATTTTAACCATCGTGTAGATGGTTCGATGCTAACAAAAATTTTACTAATCATACCCACCAACAATTTGATGACGTCACTTCAAAATTGTACACAGTAAATGGGTTTTAAATTGTACAAAATAACATAGTCCTACGCATGTAGTTTATAATTCCCTGTTGAGTTTTTACCCGAAACGTTCAGTTTTTTGGAAAAAAAACTAAAAATTATAAAACAACATTTTGCAAAACCGAATGCTTTGAAATCTTCAACGGGCATTTTTATTTCTAATATATATTTTGATTATACGTATTTAGGTATTTATTATATTTTGTTTTTTAATTCAGTGTTTCAGGTAGAATGATTTTAATATAACGTAAGCCCTAATTGCAATATACTCATACTTTACTCATTATACTCGTATTTTGAAATAATTTTTATTTCGCTGTTCGTTAGGGGCCCCACAGTGTTGTAGAACACAGGCCCGTAGACTGATTGTTACGCCACTGATGTCATACATGGCAACAAAGACGTCAAACAACTAGAAATGGCAAACTTCAAACAAAATAGGAACGAATAGAAAGAAAAGAAAATAAATAAATAGGTTGTGTTCGCTGGCGCTTGAGGCAGCTGCTTCAAGTATTATCCCGACACACAACACTGGCTACCCCTAGTAAAGTTTCCTTTACCAGTAGGCCACGCTCCGCATATCTTGCGTTGGCGGCATCCGATATTGTGAATAAACAGTCATATGAATGACAGGAAAATTTAGGCAGTCTTGACTTTGCCCGAAGTAGCCAACCGAATTCAATTCAGCAAAATTAATGAAACAAGAGTACATCGTGAATCGAATTCCCCAACACATAAATACATAAAACACATGTCTAATATGGCCAAAACACAAAATATGATTTGATTTGTTTATACATCGCTTTGAGAGGTACTTTCGAAAATCAATGTTCCAGATTTGGAATAATAAAACATATAAAACATAACACAAAATCAGCATTAAATCCCATTTGCCCTTTCGAATCCACGACGACATTTATTTCGCTGATTATTTCCAAAGCGACTCAATCTTTAAAATTTTACATCTTGAATACTGCCAAAAACTATGTTAGGGTTCCAAAGATGAATGTATTTAAATTGAAATAATAATTTAAGAAGAACCATCCATATCCTGAGATATTTCACAATTTAAAATATTGTAAAAAATTGCATTCAAATATTTCTGGTATAATGTTTTTTTTTTGTCGTCATACAAGAAAATAAAATGTATAATTCCCAGCGACAATTTTATCGCTTTTAAGAAGTTCGAACGCGGTCCGGGAAAACCAGCCAGCTACCCAGCCAACGCTAGTCTAAACAATAATGATGAAATGTGTCGAATTGCAGAATGGCCAGACGCCGTAGTATTACGTGAGATTGACAAATTATTATCAATTAAAAATCATATTAAACTTTACTTACACATGAAGTGAAATTTTACAAAGGGCACTTCACGATTTCGCACGAACTGTTTCCGCAGAACTCTTCTACATCACCCCCTGATCACGTTCCTTATCTTCAAAAGTTGTGCAAATGGTTCCTTGTGTTAGAAAAAAATATTTAGTGTTCACCCTATGGTTTGCACCCTATTAGTTGCTCCACATGTAGGCAACCAAGTATACACACAGTTGAACTCGCACGAATTCCAATAACTAAATGATCCACTGAGCAAGAAGTGTCACGTTTAGGGGTATGTCCACTAAAAACCCCACATTATACCTACGCGTGTTGCTGGCTATAAAAAGTTAAGTTATGTTGGAAACGGCTTTCCATTGAAGAGTGTGTAAATGGGAAATTTAACAATTTTTTTGTGGCAAAAGTAAGCATTTCCACAACATTTGAAGGTGAGGAACGTGATCAGGGGGTGCTGTAGAAGAGTTGTGTGCAAACAGTTTGTGCGAAATCGAGAAGTGCCCTTTGTAAAATTTTATCAAACGTATACATCTCAAACACATGTGACTTTTTATAGTGTGGACCTGCATCCGCACTCTACCACTGTTGACCTGCATCCGCACTCTACCACTGTTGAAATTAATCTGAAAATCTGAAGATATACTGTGTCTGAAGGTACAGAGGCGCGAAAGCTCCCCAACCGCTCTTTAAGAAAAACGCAAATCTACATTACAGAAAAAATGTCATTCTTTGTGGCGCTAAATTTAATTTGAACCGGTACACTACAATTGATCCTAATAATAACTACCCGCTTTATCTTTCTTCACACAGCACTATCCTGCGTCCAAAATTTCTACGTAGTCTAATTAGAATCTCGAGTGTTATGTGAAAATCTGTACGACACCACGATCCTTTCACGTAAATGATCTTCATTTTGAATTGGAACGGCTGAAATGGCATTGGTGAAATCGGTGTTCCGTCAGAATGTTACAAACCGAACTCTGACTAATCTGCAATTGTCTTTTTATGATCTACTGTTGACTCACGTGAGGATTTTTTTCTATAATTTCAGTCAAGGCAGAGTCATTTTCCGACGTTATTACTGTACGACGCCTATCTTAGGTTTCTTAAATTGATCAATTTTTCGTAACTTTTTTTCAAGTTTTCTAAATGCTTGGTTAGAAGGAATCGCCTGGCATATAGACAAGCGGCAGCATCGAAATTTCTATCACACACTTTCCCAAAGTTAAAAGTACACCGGTTAATTTCGGAATTCAAAAACATTGTTATCAAAAGTTGAAAATAATTTGACAGCTAGAACTAATTTGTCATAATTTTGGTGGAATCATTGCCATATACACGTTATTTATTGTTTATAAAAAATTTAAGACGAAGTAGTTTGTGGAAAGTAAAATGTGTTGCATATCCAGACTTATCCAGGCGTGAACAGATGAAATAATTACCCTGTTTTTATACGTTTATTTCAACTTATAGGGTTTCTCATAAGAAATATAAAATCCGCAAAATCAAATTTTACAATTTTTTTATATGTTCCATTGTACTTCCTGAACGAGGGAAGTTCTATCAAAACAACTTTTGACCAATTTTTACTTCCCTATCGTACGCTAAGGAAATATAGTAATCGTGTCCATCGGGCGAATTGCCACTTTCATATTTTCTCGACGTGTCATAAATCATAACCACTAAAGCAGGAAAAAAGTGATCTCCCGTTTCCGCCTGTCTATGGTCTGTCTGCCTGTCTGTCATCTGTATCCATTTTTTTTTTATACCCTGGATTTGTCGGTTATACTTCAAGGGCGAGGGAAGTTTTGTTGAAATTACTTTCGAGCTTTCGACCAATTTTTTTCATTAAGTAAAAATTTAATGTTTCCACGTCCCATTATCATAATTTATTAACCAGCTTTCTGCGTTGGCATACTCACAATGAAGCCACCTTATACCAGGTAAACAGAAAGTCTAGAGGATTAGTAGAGCTAATTGCAAAACTTAACGGCTCGATCTCTTTCGCAGCACTATTAATGGTTAGGACTAACTTCCTTACAAACAGGCGAACAGCAGTTGTGGAAGATCTATACTATTTAAAACTGTTACATGTTGTTTTGTCATTTACTATGAAAAAAGTACAATTATTTTATAGGTGTACGGTGTACCATTTTATTACAGTATAGCAGACACAATTTGTAATAGGGTGTACACTTCAGAGCAACAAAGAGATGTAAATGTAAAGTTACCCTGAAAATGCCCTGAACAACTATATTTATTCGAAGTGGTATTATTTTTGTATCTTGCAAAAGCTTTATGAAATCTTGCAAACGTTTTAAGGTTATCGTACGTATGATAAGTCGTTAGTCAAAATGTATCCGTTTACACCCTCCCAGAAATGGATGACGTCATTTTGAAATTCTGCCGAATAAATCCTATCTAATAAAATATGTAAAATATTATAGATCTACCTACACTTGTGGTTTATCAATGCATTTATATTTTTTAAAATTTGAGAATGCAGTATTGTTATTATTATTATTAGTGATACACTGCATCTATCCAAATTGATATAGGTGTTCTAGCTAAAATTTTGATGACGTCATCACAAAATTTTGTAATGGAAAAATTCACTTATAACATGCACATCGCACGCTTCTTTGCGTTTAGTTTAACAATAAACACACATCTTTATTTTAACTTATAAGGGGTACCATATAAAAAAATAAAATTATCACAATCAAATTTTATAACTTCGAAAAAGCTGAATATATTCTACTGTACTTTAGGGGCAAAGGAGATTTTGTTCAAATCACCTTAAACCATGTTTTTAAGTAAATTCATATTTATTAACATTTTAACATTAAATGATACATATGTATATGTTTTGTCTAAGATACCCATATCAATTCCGTCAATTACAAAGACAAACAACAAATATTGTATTAATTAATAAGGAATATTGTAATTTTATTAAGTAGACCTTATGTCGAAGGGAATTTTATACAAAAATTATGTTCGAAAAGCTGAGAGAATTTATTATGTGAACAAAATCAATGAGTTTTACAAGTTCAGTTGTGATTTGTAATGTTGTGCTCAAATATTTTGTTTTGTTTAGGCTGATTTTAGTCCAGTTTTTACTGTTATCATTTTTTATTGTGGACAGTGACTGTCACATGACTCATCTAAAAAATTTCGTCATGGTTATATGTATACTACATTGAAAGGATTGAAATTTTATTGGACTAGGTACTTTAAAAAAACTAACATTATCACCTACATGTGTTGATAATTTTCGCAACAGCTTTTTTGCGAAATCACCATTGCATTTTAGTAGTAGTCACTTTTTGGGCCCTTGCATCATTTGCAAATAAAAATATTTTCAAGACCTATATTAATATTGTCAGTCTTTTTTCACAATATTGTCTCAGTAAGAAATATGTTAAAGGAAAGCATAAATCAGTAGATACCTACTTTTGTGATACTAAAAGTTACCTACATCTGTGAATCAAGAACATAACATGATTATTTCGAAACTCATCATCAAAAGGTTAGATATGCTGTGGGAATAAACGTTATTATTATTGCATAGGTTATTTACAAATTAAAATTTTAAGGTCCATGTTGAGAGAAGTTGTTCAACCATTTGCCGGTCATTATATTTATTGAGTTGTGCTGCAGGGTTGTGATAAATTATTTAAGGGGTCAAAGTAACAATCGCACCACTATATTTTGGTTCTCATCTCTTATTCGTACAGGCAATTGTGTGTGTTTGTTGAATATTTGGTTGCATAAAGCATAGGCTGCTGAGTCCCAACAATGTAATTTTAAAGACTTGTATATTCATGGAAAGGTACATTAGATGACCAAAAGTCGTATTACATTTTGTTTACATTACTAAATAACTAGTTTTACACTAAATTGAGATTTAAAACCAGAGACTTAAATTAAAACCGATGTCCGGTTCCATTAATCTTAGAAATAATAGACCGTGCATTTATGCATATGCAGGATTTACAAAAGTTGTAATCAATAAACTTATGAGTATTATTTCATTTTGTACTCTTTGATATTCTGAAAGAACGATTGACAAATATGTAGATGAAGTTGACGCTGGACGGTAAGTTATCGGTGCAGCATAACGGTAACAACAGATCGCTGATAGCGCAATAATGTGTTTTTAAACTACTGTTCATCAAGTTAGTTTTGATTTTACATGAGTGTTTGCCGCCTTTTTTAAATCAGAAATCCGAAACCATTAACAGTGTCGCATTCATCAGAATTTAAAAAATTCCATTATCAAAACGAAGCTGATTTAGTCTAACTTGGACGAAAAACAATGTTTCTAATCATTCTTTATATTAGTGTTAATCTATGTTACTTATTAATATTAATAATAAAATAAACCTTTATATGTCAAGCATCACTTTAAACTTCCCTCCACTCTGTATTGATTAAAGAAATCCATCTCTTCGTTTCACTTGCTCCTAGACCGCTGCTACTACTGCGCCAGTACCGCTAAACACTAAACAAAACAGTTGTAATCGAGATGGCGGTGGAAGTACACACATTTTGATGTTTCAACATAAACATTAGTACAATAATTTTAAATAACCGCGGGTGTTGGTTTAAGTATTTACGATAATTTATGTTATTAATAAATTTAATCAAAAAGCATGGCCGAAGAAGCAAACATTAAATAAAGGTAAGTTTTTTTCTTCTTGAAAAATAAAAGTTGTAAATATACCTGTCTTGACCACTGTCAGGGTCCGACTTTCCACAGAATAACAATTAAGATAATTTGGAATTTAGGTTTCGGCAATTTATAAGTTTTTATGACATTATTTACTTTTTATTATAAGGATAAATACACGATAATAAATTAACGAAAACAAGTTAGTTTGGAAAATTGTAATATTGCAGTGAGAGTAAATCTAAGCATTTAATCGCACAATAATCAGTAAGAGTGCTAACCCACACTTTCGATAAGATTTTTTTTCAGGCTAATAATAAAGTTTTGTAATTCAGTTCATATTTTTATATAACGTAGCAAAAACATGGACATAATTAATAAGTGTTAATTGTGCCAAAACCCTAAAACACCAAAATAGATTGCTTATAACACTAAAACTGACGTCAAATGCTGTTATATATAGATTCTTGATTAAGAAAACAAGGAAACTACATGTAAACATTATTTTTAATTAGAACTTACCTTTTTGAGTTACAAGTCTAGCAACGAATTTGAAGTACGCATAATACGTCAAAATGTAATTTTCAAAAACGTACTTGTTCAGATTTATTTTTGTAGCAAAAGCTGTGTGCTAAAATGTATGTACATGGATCTCCTCCGGTTAGATAAATTCTGCAATACCGGTTACAACCCGGTGTGTTAAGTACTAAACATTTATAATATTGTCTACGCTGCATCCACTGATTGTGGATGTTGTTGCTGTGTTGAAAATTCGAATAAAATATCTTGATCTTTTTCATTACGTACTTTGTTGTCGCATAAAACTGATCTAGGGTCGTGTTTACATGAATTTTAATGACAGATGTTTCGTTTTGTGAATGTGGTAGGCGTTTTATGCAGAAAAATTAAAATAACTGTCTAACTTGTGAAAACGGCAGTACCTAGCTGAGAAAGAAAAGTCGGTGTCGGAGTCTCTCTTTCTCCGAGTAGGGTAAAGTGGGGAAAGGAATTACCGCAAAAAAATAATATTTCTGTAAAAAATATAGATATGTGTATTAACTTTAATTACTACATATATGTATAGCAGTAATGATTATCGAGCGAACACAAACGTAATTATGTGATATCTATGGAACCTACACAAGAGCTTTTCAAATTTGTGTATCCTATCTATAAGAATTAATTCACTGCTGAGTATATAAGGTATGCAATAACCTAATAACACTATAAAGATGTCTGACCTTATACTTGTTATCTAGTTAATTGCTAAAATATACGACAGGATATAATTCTATAGCTATATAATTTTCGACCATGTACATACAATGGACGACGTTATCTTCATTTTGAATTCCGTAAACTGAAAATAAAATTTTAAAATTTAAATTATTGTTTGGCCCTTGTATAGTTACATCGCTGAAAATCCAAGCTCTCCCTCATTTGTTCTTGATCGTATTGAGACCTAATTTTATGTCAGCATGACTCTGTTGGGACAAATAAAACTAATTCATTAAATTATCGCATCGAATTTAAAAATTTTTTCATTTCGTTAGATTCACCACGCATATTCACCGTTTTATGAGGACAATTTGTCTCGTCAAGTTACTGAACAATCAAGTTTTCTTTAAGAATGCAAATTTATGATTAAGAAAAAATCCTCGCTTAATTCGGTCTGACACACTCGTTAAAAGAATTCAGTACAGTGAAATTAGGCAGGACAGTCTAGTTGGTAATTTCTGTAAATGAAAGTAAATTTTAGTTGGTATCATATTTGAGGTTTACATTATACTTTATGATCAGTGACCTTGTTACTTTACGTAGCTTCGGTAAAAAGGTTTTGAGTGTGAATTTTATTTTATGTCGACTTATGTTAGTTATTAGTGTTATTACTGAGTGAGGTTTAAAGTTAAATGTTCTCTTTTTCTGCAGATTTCATATTCTACTTACTACACATATGGGGCATTTTGTATCTTTTAGGTTTAAGTTTGTGAAAACTAGAACAGGTTTGTTTGAATTAGTAAATACGGTCCAATTTTTGGAACAAAATATGAAAGTTGAACAACTTCTACTCATGTTATTCGTCAAAAGTTTTTTTTTTATATGGACACTTTCACTAAAGTAGGTATAGATTAAATTTCATTTTTTATAGTTAGTTATTAGCACCTTGTGTAATATAATTCCTATGATACGCATTTTAAAAGACGACTTTTCCCAGTGATTGTTTTTCGTATTATTTGGGTTTTTTTAATCTTGTGCATATTCAACATCTAAAAATAAATATGATAATTTTTATTGAAATATATTATTTATCTCGATGCTCCATCTCTATAATTACGTTGTCATTATTATTATTATGTAATCAAATTGCCATTGTGATTTTTCAAAGTGGATGTGTTTAAAGTTCCGTTATATCGTAGGCAATACAGTATATTTAATTAAACTTTCCATGGTTGTAATATTCGTGGGAATCAGTAACACATTAGTCATGAACATACATACACACTTTTTTAAAAACTTGTCAAATTTTAAACAATATGTATTATTGTGGGCACATTAAACACGTAAATTCGGAAGTAAGTATTGATAACCATGTAGAGGTCATACAAGTTAGTAAATTACTATATGTTTTTTAATAGTTATTTTGCAATAAAAAATCGTTTATTTGAATTTTTAAAATAGCTGTTGGTGTATTATATATGTATACACGTCAAACGTGACAATACTTGTTAGTTTTTATTCATTTTTCTGTCAGATCAAATGAGTAAATCCATCGAGTATATCAAATATTCTTCACAGCGTCCGTTGTCTGCCGTGTCCATTTTTCTTATTAGGCAGATAAGCTTTGAAACTATCGGACCGATTTTTGGCAAATTTTGTGTGCTACGAATATAGTGTGAATGGTAAAACGCTAACCAAAATTTGTCTGATCGTCCTCTCCCACACTGAAATGACGTCACCTTAAAATTTTGCTTTTCAATTTTATAAAATGATATACTCTTATACTTGTGCTTTATGAATCCACATTGTTTTTAATTGTTAATTTTTTTATAGTTTAAATTATTTTTTTACGGTTGTAACGTAGAAACATTTTTGTTACAAGTCTAAAAAATAATATCTAATTTTCAATTTTCCTTATCAAACAGTAAAATAAGTACGATATTTTCGGTTTTTTTTTGCGTAGATGGTTGTACATACTCATTGTTGCCCTGTAATGAAGCCACCAGAATTTTATTGGACCTTCTTTACGTACGCACATTGTCGGCACACCATTAAAAATTTTACGACTCGACCCCAATTTTACCTCAAATTAAAGTGGTGGAATTTCTATTACATAACAAAGAGGTACTTTCTTGCTGTTTCTGTCCCTCCTAGTCGTTTATATGGGGCCCAGAGTTGGTTTTTCAGTCCAGAATACCGTCCCAGTTCACTGAATATTATCTTGGTATCTAATTGTGGTTTTACTAGTACTTTGAATTCGTAATTCACTTCAATAATTTTCTAGAAATACCGAGCACGATTACACACCCAGCAGGCAACATTTTTAAATTAATTCACTGAGAATTTTCTTTCAAACAAAGGGAAATTTCGCAGCATGAGTTCAATCGATCCATCTTCATAAGAATTCGTTTAAGGGATTCTGATGAGTTACAGTTTTTTACCGACAAAGCTAACACCGTCAAATTATTTTTTCATTTCGTCCTTAATCCAGAGTTGGAGTAATAGTAATAAAAATTCAGGGCGCTTGTGTAATAATTATAAGGTAAATTGTCGAAGCAGAAAATAACAGCCATTGAGCCCGAATTACAACCTTTCAAGGACGACTGTTAATGAGAGGGTAATTGGAAATTAAATTTGCACGAACAGAAATGAGATAATTTCGTACTTCCACATTGCATAACTGCATCGTACCTCTCGGTGTAATGAAATCTTCGAGCAATAAACTTGCTTTACAAGAACGAGTGTAATTAACTTCCACTAATAAATTCACGTCTGCTTGCCAAGGACGAAGGACAAAGAAATTTTAGTCCATGCAACATTTGGTTAAAGGAGCAAAAAATTTACAGATGAATCCAGTTTACATTTCAAATTTTAAAATAAAAGTTACATTAATAAATAGTTTTTTATATTAGTAGGATTAAGTAATTGAAAACTTCAGAATAAAAACATTCTGAATGTGCTCTTTAACTCAATCAGTTTCTACATATTCTGTTAATAAACTTTTTGACTCTGGTGAAAATTACAAACATTTCAAATTCTGTAATTATTATATGAATTAACAAGTATCTTGTTAACGTAGGTGTTAAAATGTGTGAAAGTTTTCTAAATAAATTATAAAGTTTAATATGACGTGATGTCTCTTTGTTCTTAGTATATGATATGACGAGTTGAGATATTTACTGTTTTAGACACTGATCATAAGATGTGGAACAAATCCAATAAAACAAATTTAGAAATACAATTCAAGAACGTTTCAACACAAGTATAGTTTTCCAACTTAAATTGACCTGTGTTTCTAAACTAATAAACAACTAAAGTAATTCAGAAATATTTTTAGAGTTCATGTAGATTTACGAAACTAGGTACATACTACTAGAAAAGATAAACATACGACAACTTTTGTACAGTTAAACAAATCTGTATAAACTACACGTATTTTGCGGCTTTATTGCCTTGACCACACAGGTCAATTTAGTTGAAAAAGACAGATAAATATATACATATACGTATAAATCCCGATCCACAAAAATAGATAGTCCTGTAGTTAGCGACTGCCTTTCTCACCCCTGTTGTGAGAAACAGAGGATGAGAAAGACAGCTTGCAGGTCCATCGCCAACTAGTGGACGATTTTTGTAGACTGTACTTTACAATACGGGCTAATTTTTATATGTAACCCAGACGACGAGCTATTTTGGAAACAGGAAACGATATTATTATCAAAGATAAACAGAACATTTTTTGAATGAGCGTTCAGCGTGTCTGAATTTTTTTTTAATTCTATTTTTTATTGTTC